TGCTGTACTGTCTCCTGAGGCGGGAGTCCCGGCAGGCTCTGGCAGACACCTTCAGGGATCTGCGATCCAGGCTGTGGCCCCAGGGTGGAGGCTGGGTGCAATAAGTAGCCTTAAAGCGGGCAGGCAGGCGGTGGGTCTTGAGCAACCCCCTGGAGTGCGGCCCTTCTACCCTGCTCACCAACCTGGACAGATGGACACCGAGTGAAGGGCGCAAGCTGAATACACTCCTCTTTCTGAGATCCACCAAGTGTAGGATACTTGAGTCCTGGGGAGAAGCTGCCCCCTCTGGCAGGCTGCAGCGCCCTTGGAGAAAAGTCTCATCTTTGATCCCCAATTCTGCGTGTGGTGAATGGGGGAAGCGGGGGCCCAGATCAGAGCTGGGTGTGACAAAGCTTAAGTCTTTATTAGGAGATGGAAAAAGAGGAGGATCTGAGAATAAACCTCTGGATTATCCACAAATTGTTTGACCTTTTATCCCAGTTCCACCTCCAGTTCAGTGTGGAACAAAAGGATTCGTTGCTCCATTTCTGCCTTCTGCAAGAATTCCCAGGAAAACTTCCCTAAAGATTCCAGGCTAATGAATCAGAGGTCAGTGCCCATCTCCCTCTGCCTGTACCCCCCCACCTCAAAACAGGGTATCCCTTGTCTTTCTCTGGTATCAAGGCTACAAATACCCTCTTCCCCTGTCCCCACCTTACCATCTCAGTAGTGACCACTGAAACTTGCTGCCTACAGAGGCCTCAGCTGCAAAAGCCATAGTTCCCCTAAAGGGATGCCAGGTGTGGGATACTGCTGAAATTCCCAGCCCTGGGTGTAAAACCCTGGTGCTGACTGGAGTGCCTGTGTGTCTCCCTTTAAATCAGGATTTGAAAGAAGAGAAGATGATGACAAGTCAAAGACATGGGTGGGGTGAAGGGAGGTGAGAAATTAAAAGGGGGGCAACTGGGAGAATAGGCTGCAGGTGGAGTCACAAAAGTGGAGACCTCAGAAAGTGGTGCTAGTCCTCCTCCCTGCCCCAAGTGCAAAGCTCAGAGCGTCAATCTGAGTGTCGGAGCACCTGGATTCACACCTTTACCTCCAGCAAATTACTTTACCTCTTTGTACCTCACCGTTCTCCCCTGCAAAATGGGCTACTGAAGATTTAACAGCCGGGCATGCTGGCTCACACCTATAATCCCAGCACTTTGGGAGGCTGAGGCGGGCGGATCACAAGGTCAAGAGATCGAGACCATCCTGGCCAACATGGAGAAACGCTGTCTCTACTAAAAATACAAAAATTAGCTGGGCATGGTGGCCCGCGCTTGTAGTCCCAGCTACTTATGAAACTGAGGCAGGAGAATTGCTTGAACCCAGGAGGTGGAGATTGCAGTGAGCCAAGATTGCGCCACTGCACTCCAGCCTGGTACCTGGCGACAGAACAAGACTCTGTCTCAAAAAAAAAAAAAAAAAAAGATTTAACAGTGAAATATACGGTTAGTTATTATTCTTATATCCTGTGTAAAATGGAGACAGAGAGAAGGGAGGAAATAAGGGTGCAGCTGGGAGATCACGATGGGGAACCATGTCTCATCTGGAATGGCTTTATGTGCTCCAAAGTGAGGTATAATGAAAGTTTCACATAAACAGGTAGGTATGGTGGCTCATGCCTGTAATCCCAGCACTTTGGACGGCCGAGGCAGGCAGATCACAAGGTCAGGAGCTCGAGACCAGCTTGGCCAACATGGTGAAACCCCGTCTCTACTAAAATACAAAAAAATCAGCTGGGCGTGGTGGCGGGCACCTGTAATCCCAGCTACCTGGGAGGCTGAGGCAGGAGAATCGCTTGAAACAGGAAGGTGGAGGTTGCAGTGAGCCAAGACTGTGCCACTGAACTCCAATCTGGGCGAAAGAGTGAAACTCTGTCTCAAAAACAAAAACAAGAAAAACCTCAGAGCTTGGCCCCTACGCCTCTCTTGAAGGTGGTGTGTTATCCAGGTCTCCAGGATAGGGGACTCCTCTGTGGTTCCCATATTGAGACACATCAATGATAAAGGTCAGCCATCAGAAGGGTTTTCTGGGAGGCAGCCTCTAGAAAGGAGGAAGGCAGAGGGAAGATGGGGTAGAGCTCCCACTTTCACTGCCCCCTCCTCAGGTTCTCTGGCATGTCTTGGAACCCATGAGGACACAGGGTGCTCAGGCTCCTGGGGCAGCAGCTGGGAGCAGTGCCACCTTATTAAATGCAGAGCCCCCTGTGAAGGGGGAAGCCACAGTGCCTCCAGGTGCCCCCTGTCCCAGTTCCTTTAATTGCTGGGCAGAGGCTCCAAAGAGGCACCCAATTCACAACAGATTAAGCAATGTGAAAGGAACTTAATTAGCCTCTTGTTTAATTTCCTCTTTTTGATGATGTTTAAACTAGCTCCAAAACTCCAGGTCTATTCCTAGCCCATGCAGGCAATGGAAAATCCTCCCCCACCTAAGCAACCGTCTTCCCACCCCAACAGCTCCTCTGACGGCCTTGCTCGCCTCCGGATATTGGCTCCTCGGGGGGCATCTCTGCTTTATGGGCCCCGGAGGTAAATATTGACAAAGTGTACACAGGTCCAAGTCAGAGATGAATGCTCTTGGTGGGGAGGGGGAGGAGGAGGGGGCAGCTGGATGGAGAAGGGAGGGCTGGGCAGAGCAGGCGGCCTGGAGCTCCTCTTGGAATGGAAAGACAGCAATGTTTTGGTGAGAACCTGGGCCCTGACACCCTAGAACGCAAAGCCAGATGGCTTTGAAACTTCAGCAGGAGGGACAGAGGTTAAGACTGTAGGTTCCCGGCCGGGCACGGTGGCTCAAGCCTGTAATCCCAGCACTTTGGGAGGCCGAGGCGGGTGGATCACGAGGTCAAGAGATCGAGACCATCCTGGTCATCATGGTGAAACCTCGTCTCTACTAAAACTACAAAAAATTAGCTGGGCATGGTGGTGCGTGCCTGTAATCCCAGCTACTCAGGAGGCTGAGGCAGGAGAATTGCCTGAACCCAGGAAGCGGAGGTTGCGGTGAGCCGAGATTGCGCCATTGCACTCCAGCCTGGGTAACATGAGTGAAACTCCGTCTCAAAAAAAAAAAAAGGCTGTAGGTTCCCAAAAGTGGGTTAGGGAGGGGACAGGGGACACAATGGTTAAAGATGTGAGGAAGGGGCCCAGCTCTCAGGAACAGCCACATCAGACAAATGTTTGTGCCCCACGTTCTGGGGCTGAAGATGTGTATGTGTGGTGGGCAGAGGTTGGTAACGTGGTGGCAGAAGGGACAGCACTGCTGGGAAGAAAGCAGCAGTGGACTTCACACCCACTCTGAGCTGTGTCTCCAGGTTTCTGTGTTCTCTTCTGACCAGCATCTCTCACTGGACCTGTGGAGGATTCTGGGAGAACCTGCATTCCCCTTTTTTGGTGGTCTCTGCATGCTATCTGATATCGCCACCCCACCCTCACCTGCCTTCCTTCCCCACCTAAATGTTCTACCTTCACAGCTCTGAGCTGCTTCCAGCTGACTTGGCAGGCAGCTGCTGAGCCCTGTGTCTGTGTGGGTGAAACCTGAAGCCCTGATATTTTTAGGCAGAGTAGCCAAGGGAGAAAAGTGATGGACTAGAACTAAGAAGGCTGGTGAGGTGGCTCAAGCCTGTAATCCCAGTACTTTTAGAGGCCGAGGCAGGCAGATCACCTGAGATCGGGAGTTCAAGACCAGCCTGACCAACATGGAGAAACACCATCTCTATTAAAAATGCAAATATTATAGGCTGCGCTCGGTGGCTCATGCCTGTAATCCCAGCACTTTGGGAGGCCTAGGCGGACGGATCATGAAGTCAGGAGCTCGAGACCAGCCTGATCAACCTGGTGAAACCCCAACTCAAAAAAAAACAAAAAACAAAAACAAACCTGGGTGCGGTGGCTCACACCTGTAATCCCAGCACTTTGGGAGGCCGAAGTGACAGGATCATGAGGTAAGGAGTTGGAGAGCAGCCTGGCCAACATAGTGAAACCCCATTTCTACTAAAGATACAGAAAATTAGCTGAGCGTGGTGGCGCATGCCTGTAATCCCAGCTACTTGGGAGGCTGAGGCAGGAGAGTTGCTTAAACTTGGGAGGCAGAGGTTGCAGTGAGCTGAGATTGTGCCATTGAACTCCAGCCTGGGCAACAAAAGCAAAACTCAATCTCAAAAAATAAAAAAGCCAGCTCCTTCCTGTACTGGCAAGCTTTGTGCACCTAGGTTTCCCTGCACATAAAATGAGAACAATTCCCCATTCTCAGGATCCCGGTAATGGCTGAGAAAGCACCTTGTAAAGGTTTGATGCTGGAGAATGAGTTACGGAAGGGGAGGGTGCTGGCTGCTCCCCCAGCCTGCTCCCCACATGATTTCAATTCCTCTTTCTAGCTGAGGGCCTGAGCCCCATTCTCCTAATCCAACCCCATGGGGATGTGAACTTGTACCTGCATTTATACACAACCCTAGACTCTCCCCTCCTCCCCTCCCCGCAAAGCCCCAAAGTAAGTACCAACCGGGAACAGGAAGTAAAACTAACTAAAACCAAGAACTGAAACCAGCTCATCTCTCACTGCCTCTCAAAGAGGCGAAGTAAAAGAGCAGCTCCTGTGAGGGCAACCCCAGGGCCCGACGCCATGGAGATGAACAAGGGCAGATGGGGGCTGGATCTGACAATGAATGAGGCTGGGGACCAGGGCAACAGGTGGAGGCGATGGCTGAGCATGGCATACAAATACGATGGACACACATTTCCTGAAAGCGGAATTCCCGACATCGGAACCTGTGTGCCCTCTTTGTTTTTATCCTTGTACTGGTACATTAAAAAACGAAAAAAAGATTTTCAGTGGTTACTTTTGTTAGTGCCCCCTGTCTTCAGTGAGGCAGACGCTGTCCTTTCGGTGAGAGAAAAAGGCCCCTTTCAGGGAAACAGTCACTGCCCGGCTCTCTCCTTTCATCCTCCTCAGAACTGGCAGACATAACGGGAAACAGTACCTTGTGAAGTTCCAGGTTTTTAATTTTCCCTGATTCTTTTTTTTAAACAACCAAATTGGCAGAAAAAAGAAAACACTGGGGCTGGTCGGCATTTGGGGGCAGGGGTTCCACTGAAAAATCCCCCAAATTCACGCTGAGGTTTCAGGTCATGGTGGCTGAGGTGGAAGATGAGGTCAGGGCTCCTGGAAATGTCCCAACCCACCCTAGAACTTGTTTCCAAATGGCTGGGGAAGAGGTCAGTATAGGTCCCCCCGTTACTGCAGATGAAGGCAGAGGTCACTGTCTCCCCCACCCCTCAACTTCTTCAGAGATGTGGAGATAGGAGGCTTCGATCTCTAATTGCCTACGATCTCTTAAAAATGTAAAACACGTGCAGTTGACTTTGGTACAAAAAAGAAAACAAAACAACATCAGAACATTCTGGGCCCTGTGGGTATTTCCCTCGCCCCCAACAAACCATTATGGCCACCCCAACCTCTATTCCATCAACTCCAGGAAGCCAGGTTATCTCCCGGGACTTCCATAAAGGACGGAGAGAGGGAGAACAGCAGTACAAGGTTGAGGGGGGAGGAGAAAGGGACATGGCTCTGCCCACAGCCCTCCTTTAATTAAAGGGCAGTAGGGTTCTGTGGCTGCAGCCTCTCCTCTAAGACAGGTGTTGCCGGGGAGGGGCGTTAGGGCAAGAACCCAGCAGCTGCGTGGATGAGCCGGAATAAACCCCAGTAGTGTTCAAGGACAACGCCCTCTGATCCCTATGGCTTGGTTCCCATGTCCCTGGTACTTTAAATCTCGCCTCTCCCCCCATAACTAATAAACAATAAATAAATAAATTTTCCTAAAGTGGAGGGAAGAAGGCATGAACCATTGGCATCTGCGGTGTAGCTTTCGGATGCCTCGGGGGTGTTGTGGCCTAATTCCCCCAGCTTCTTAAATGGCCCCAGGTATCCAAGGATCCCAAGAGCTGGCAAGGACAATTAGCAGTTCCTTCAAATGTTCCCTCATCATTGGCAAATTGGAGTCCCCAAGGTTAGCCCCCCTCAGTAATGTTCTTCAGTGGGGCACAGGGCAGGGGGAGGGGCCCCCTTAGCTCTCGGAGGCTACCACCTCCCCGTCGCGGCTCTCCGTCTCCTCCGGGATGTCCTGCATTCTGGTAAACTCTGAAGGGGGACAGGACAAAGCCAGTGAGTGAGCAGAGACTCCCATGAGGAACTGTACCCCTATACTAATGCCTCCCCATCTGCAGGGCCAGGGGCTCTGGGGCTATGAAGGGATGACAGGGTTCTATAAGTTCTTGGGTGAGGGAAAGACCTCTGGCAACAAAGTTAGCAAGGTATCCATACCTAGGTACCTGATACGCTTTTACAGTATTCAAATATACAATCTGATTAGGAAAATACAAAATACTTTAAGATTAAAGCTTTTGGTAATTTTTTATTTCATGAACCAACTGTAAAAACTTGAAGGTCTTTGGCTGGGCACAGTGGCTCACGCCTGTAATCCCAGCACTTTGGGAGGCCAAGGCAGGTGGATCACCTGGGCTCAGGAGTTCGAGACCAGCCTGGGCAACACGGTGAAACCCTGTCTTTACTAAAAATACAAAAAATTAGCTGGGCGTGGCAGCGTGCACCTGTAGTCCCAGTTATTCAGGAGGGTGAGGAAGGAGAATTGCTTGAACCCAGGAGGCAAAAGTTGCAGTGAGCCGAGATCACACCACTGCACTCCAGCTTGGGTGACAGAGCGAGACTCCCTCTCAAAAAAAAAAAAAGGGCCAGGAATGGTGGCTCATGCCTGTAATCCCAGCACGTTGGGAGCCCAAGGTCGGTGGATCACGAGGTCAGGAGATCAAGACCATCCTGGACAACATGGTGAAACCCTGTCTCTACTAACAAAAATTAGCTGGGAGTGGTGGTGTACACCTGTAGTCCTAGCTACTCGGGAGGCTGAGGCAGAGGAATTGCTTGAACCCAGGAGGTGGAGGTTGCAGTGAACCAAGATTGCGCCACTGCACTCCAGCCTGGCAACGGAGCAAGACTCTATCTCAAAAAAAAAAAAAAAAAAAAAAAAAAAAGGCAGGGGGTAAGAGGGGTGGGAATTGGCCCTGTGGCTTGTGCCTATAATCCCAGCACTTTGAGAGGCCGAGACAGGAAAATCACTTGAGGCCAGGAGTTGCAGACTAGCCTGGTCAACATGGTGAAACCCCATCTCTACTAAAAACGCCAAAAATTAGCTGCATGTGGTGGCGCACCCCTGTAATCCTAGCTACTTGGGAGACTGAGGGATGAGAATTGCTTGAACCCAGGAGGCAGAGGTTGCAGTGAGCTGAGATCGTGCCACTATGCTCCAGCGTGGGTGACAGAGCAAAACAGCAAACCTCTGTCTCTCTCTCTCTCTCTCTCTCTCTCTCTATATATATATATATATTTCCTTCCAAGCACAGTGGCATACACCTGTAGCCCCACCTACCTGGGAGGATCACTTGAGCCCAGGAGTTTGAGTCCAGCCTCTGCAAAAGCACAAGACCCTGTCTCTAAAATAAAAAAATTTCAGAGCGAGATCCTGTGTCTGGGTCTGTGTTCTGTCGCCTATGCTGGCGCAATCACCGAGTACTGCCAACTCAACCTGCTGGGCTCAAGTGATCCTCTCACCTCACTCTCCCGAGTAGCTAGGCCTAAAGGTGCACACCACCACACCTGGCTAATTAAAACAATTTTGGGGGGCCGGGTGCAGTGGCTCACGCCTGTAATTCCAGCACTTTGGGAGACCGAGGTGGGTGGATCACCTGAGGTTGGGAGTTCAAGACCAGCCTAGCCAACATGGCAAAACCCCATCTCTACTAAAAAATACATAAAAATTAGCCAGATGTGGTGGTACACAACTGTAATCCCAGCTACTCGAGAGGCTGAGGCAGGAGAATCACCTGAACCCGGAAGTGGAGGTTGCAGTAAGCTGAGATCACACCACTGTACTCTAGCCTGGGTGACAGAGCGAGACTCCATTAAAAAAAAATAGGCCAGGCGTGGTGGCTCACACTCGTAATCTCAGTACTTTGGGAGGCTGGGGCAGGCAGATCACAAGGTCAGGAGTTTGAGACCAGCCTGACGAACATGGTAAAACCCCATCTCTACTAAAAATACAAAAATTAGCCGGTTATGGTGGCGGGCATCTGAAATTCCAGCTACTCAGGAGTCTGAGGAAGGAGAATTGCTTGAACCTGGGAGGCAGAGCTTGCAGTGAGCTGAGACTGCACCACCGCACTCCAGCCTGGGCAACAGAGCAATATTCCATTTCAAAAAAATAAAAATAGGCCACCCACGGTGGCTCACGCCTGTAATCCCAGCACTTTGGGAGGCCAAGGAGGGTGGATCACAAGGTCAAGAGATCAAGACCATCCTGGCCAACAAAGTGAAACCCCATCTCTACTAAAATACAAAAATTAGCTGGGCGTGGTGGCGTGTGCCTGTAGTCCCAGCTACTCGGGAGGCTGAGGCAGGAGAATTGCTTGAACCTGGGAGGTGGAAGTTGCAGTGAGCCGAGATCATGCCACTACACTCCAGCCTGGCACCTGGCGACAGAGCAAGATTCTGTCTCAAAATAAATAAATAAATAACAAAATAAATAAATAAATAATATTTTGTAGAGAAGCAGGGGGTCTCACTATGTTGCCCAGGCTGGTCTCAAAATTCTGAGCTCAAGCAATCCTCCTGCCTTGGCCTCCCAAAGCATTAGGATTACAGGCATAAGCCACCGTGCTTTTTTTTTTTTTTTTTTTTAATCTATTTCTACTTGTAAAGGTTGAGAATCACCAACCAGTTGGAGGAGAGAGGCCCCCACACTCTGCTTCCTACAGTTCCACCACCTATTCATCATCAGCCAAAACAGTTAGCCCTCTCGGTGTCCCTCCCTAGAGTTACTATAAGCCTCACAGGTCAGTTAGGGCCCATTTGGAAGCCATAGCCCAAAGGCCTGTACCCAGGCTGCACTCTACCTCTGGTCCATGTCTCCGCCAAGGTCTCACCTCGTGGACTGTGGGGCGGAGACAGACGGCTGCTACCTTCCTCCTCGCTGCCGGTGTCAGGGTCACTGCTGTCTTGCAGACGCTCTTCGGGGCTCCCCAATTCCTGCCTCTCTCGGTCCTCAAAGTGTCGATGGACAGAGCGAGTAGTGACGGGCAGATCCAGGCGGTCGGTGCCTCGGCTGGGCTGTGGACAGTGGGCAGGAAGGACAGCAGGCCGGGGACTGAGCAGTGTGGAGACTGCAGGCTCTGCTTGGCTGAAGGCAGCAGCTCTCCCCACTGGGGCTCACCCATGACTCCCCTTCAGGAGATCCACCACTAACTGACCTCTTTCAGCACCACCACCTGAGTTAGTCTCTTCCACCCCTGCACCCATCTACATTTCTCTTCAGTTCTCCAACCAGTATCTCAATAACCTGCAAGTTTGCTGCCTGATTGCATTTGGGCTCATACCCCTAATGGCCCAATTTCTTTTGGGCTCCATAGACCCTTATGTCCACACCAGGTCCATCCACCATGGCAGGCCACCTTACCTGTGGGGGGTTGAAACTCAAGTACAGGGCATCGCCTGCAGGGAGGCTGCGCCGCCGAGGATCCACAGGTCTGCGGGCCCAGGGGGCCTCGGCTGGGAGTGGCTCCGTCTGGCCCAGGGCGGCCAGCTGCCTTCGAGCCTCTTCGGCCTCCCGCTCCAGCAGTGCCCTTGCCTGCTCACTCTCCCGGAGCCGGGCCTCCAGGCTGCCAGCTTCGGTCGCCCGTTCTTCGCCTAGCCGCCGGCAGCGCCGCAGCTCCTCCTGCAGCAGCGCATGTTGCCGCTGCAGTAATGCCAGTTCCGTGGCCTGCTTTTCAGGGGCCACAGGGGCAGCCCCAGCCCTGCCAGCCTCCCCATCCCGAGAGTTGGCTCGGCACAGCTTCTCTCGCCGCTCTGGGCCCTCAGGGAACCGGGCTTCCATCAAAGTGTCCTGCTGGGCCACAGCTGCCTGGGGATAGAATGCAGGCAGAAGGGTATATCAAAAACCCTGTGTTCTTCTGCCCCTCACCCTCACCCTCCGAGGCCCAGGTCATCACTCCTGGAGAGCCTGGATTGGGAGGTATTTACAAAGGCCTGTTAGGATGGGCATGCCCCACCTAAACAGGCATCTCTAGCCTGGCTCCTCCCCTTCCCCATTCAAGCCCTTGTCCTACTGACCTGTAGGCCATGTAGAAGTCCATAGAGATTGACCAATCGCTGTAACGCCTCCTGAGGACAGACAGGGCAGGAACAGGGCCCCAGCTTTAGGATGGGAGAACTGCCCAGCAGTTGAACAAGGGCGGGTGCGGGGACAGTAGGATCTGGAGACGTACTTGAATGTAGACGCTTTCCCCGCCCCACTCCATACTGGGCTCTAACTTCTCAGACTGAGAACACCCTCCCTTCAGTCTCCTGTACCATCAGTTCCCATCTCACCTCTTGGGGTGATCTCAGCTGATTTCCATTTCGATCCTGCAGAAATGGGCAAGAATGGGAAGTCCTCAGGCACACAAATCCTGGGTGCCTGCCCCTGAGAGCTTTGTGTTGAGGAGAGGTTGTCCCTCTTCCACCCTCTTGCCAAATCCCAGAACCCCTTGAGGACCTACCTTCTGGCTAGAGTCTGAGTCGGCTCTGCAGAGTTCAATGGAGCCATTGAAGGTTCTGGCCTCACCATCTGTTGAGAAGGAGAAAAGGATTGCTGACTCACTTCCCTGGGGCCCTGATACCATTCAATCCCTGGTACCACCCCACTCTCTTTGGCCCCTCCCACCTACTACCTTGGTTCCCTGCCCTGGCACTCACTGGCAGTGACCCCAGGACTCGTGTTACCACCGCTGTCTGGTTCCAAAGGCAGGACTGGTTCTCGGGGTGTCAAGAGCAGTTCCACTCCCGGCCCCACCAGCAGGTCTTTCAGACCCTCCACTGTGGGGAAAGAGGAAGAGGTGAGGACAGGAATGACGCAGGACCGAGGGGAGTGCCATTCACCCCCACACATGGGGCACTCGGGCATCCAGGGGAATGCCTCCTGCACTGGCTCCACTGCCAGTGAGCTTCACTCACACAACCACTTATGAGCTCAAGGGCAGTAAATGCCTATGGGGCAGCATGAGTCCATGCAGCATGTGTGATACGGAGCAACAGCAAGGACCATACCTCCTCCCCTGCCTTTCCCAGAAACGGGCCCAAAAGAGGCACGCAGGGCTGTTTACGGTCTATGGGGTTGGTATCCCACTTGTCTGTGTTTGTCTGTGTCTAGTCACATGTCTAAATTCTGTGACGGTGAGTGCTTGAGCCTGGACTCTTTCCTGGGAGCTCCCTCACCCTCTCGGATGGCATCCTGCAGCAGCCGCTCGCCACGAGGGGACTCAAGGGACTCGGAGCGGAAAAGGCCCCTGGGCAGGGTGGGCAGGGGCATCCCACTGCCACCATCCTCCTCGGCCTGGAAATGGGTCATCTCAGCAAACAGCCCAACCTTCTCTCGAAGCAGCTCCACCAGTGCCCGGTCCTTCTGCTGCAGCTCCACTGTAGATAGGAATAAGTGAGCACATGAGAAGGCCTGGGGGTACGCAGCAGCGCCAGGAGAGGGCAGCTCTTGGGGAGAGGGTAGGGTGGGGCAGTGTGGCAAGACTTCATTTTGTTATTTTGGCATTTATGAAAAAGAAAAAGCTTTTTGTTGGCCAGGTGCAGTGGCTCACACCTGTAATCACAGCACTTTAGAAGGCCAGGGAGTGGATCACTTGAGACCAGGAGTTCAAGACCAGCCTGGCTAACATGGCAAAAACCCATCTCTATTTAAAATACAAAAATTAGCCAGGCGTGGTGGCATGTGCCTGTAGTCCCAGCTACTCAGGAGGCTGAGGCACAAGAATTGCTTGAACTCCGGAGGCAGGGGTTGCAGTGAGCCGAGATCACACCACTGCACTCCAGCCTGGGCAACAGAGCAAGACTCTGTCTCAAAAAAAAAAAAAGTTTTGTGGTAGGGGTTGCAGGTTGTCCAACAGTGTTCATTCTTCCCATCTTCCTTGAACTAGAAAATGCACAGAAGTTTCATCTGGGCACACATGGCTGCCCAATTAACAATGATGTTTTCCAGCCTGACTTGTACATGGCTATATCACTATGTGACTAGATTCTGGACAATGGGTATGAGTCTTCCAGATCTGTTCTTAAAAGTAATGGGTATAGGTCGGGGCGGTGGCTCACACCTGTAATCCCAGCACTTTGGGAGGCTGAGGTGGGCAGATCACTTGAGGCCAGGAGTTCGAGACCAGCCTGGTGAACATGGTGAAACCCCATCTCTACTTAAAAAACAAAAATTAGCTGGGAGGGGTGGCGGGTGCCTGTAGTCCCAGCTACTCAGGAGGCTGAGGCAGGAGAATCACTTGAACCTGGGAGGTGGAGGTTGCAGTGAGCCGAGATCGTGCCACTGTACTCCAGCCTGGGCAATAGAGTGAGATCTTGTCTCACAAGAAAAAAAAAAGAAATGGTTATAAATTCTGCTCCTTTACTCCTCCTTGCTAGGTGTGAGACAAGTGTGACAGTGGGAGCTAGAGGGGCCACTTCAGACATGACACAGAAACGGAAACTTCATGTTGAAGATAGCAGAGCTGCTCCACGACTCTGCACTTCCCATTTTGTGCTGTTATGTTGAGAGCAATAATCTTCTACCTTTTTGATTTTTTTTTTTTTTGTTACCCAGACTGGAGTGCAGTGGTGCAATTATAGTGCATGGCAGCCTTGAACTCCTGGGCTCAAACAATCCTCCTGCCTCAGCCTCCCGAGTAGCCAGGACTACAGGCATGTGCTACCATATTAGCTATTTTTTTTTTTTAATTTTTTGTAGAGACGAGGTCTTGCTAGGTATGTTATGTTGCCCAGACTGGTCTTGAACTCTTGGCCTCAAGCGATCCTCCTGTCTCCCAAATCCTGCTGGGATTAAAGGTGCGAGCCACTGCACCCGACTAATCTACTTCCTTTTTTAAGGAAGAGAAGATTTCTGTTGGTCTTTTTGTATAGCAGTTCAATCATACCCTAACTAATATAAGGCCTTACAGTGAAAAAGTTACTCACCCAATTTTGGTCTTCCATATTATTTTTACACACAGTAGTATACACTTTACACAGTTTTAAACCCTGTTTTTTTCACTTAATATGTTTCAGTTGTGGATCTACACCAGTCTTCACAGAGCCATCTCATCTTTTTAATAGTTGTATGATATTGCATTGTGTGAATGTATCATAAATTACTAATGAGCTCATTGTGTGTGGACTTACTCTTAATTCGCCGCAGGTAAGCCTCATCCTCTGTCTCAATCAGGGGGAAGTCCTCCCTGGATGGGCATCTGGAGGGGTAACAGGTCACATGCCATTGGGAGACAGAAGCTAGGTTATAGACCAGAATCAGCCTTCCCTCCTTCCCAAACATGTCTATGCTTCCCTCTTCTGATAAGACTCCTCGGCCTCACATCCTAGCTTTATTCAGTTTTGACCATCTCCCCTTTCTTCCTTTCCTTTTTCTTTCTCTTTTTTTGACAGTCTTGCTCTGTCACCCAGGCTGGAGCGGAAGGGCACAATCTCAGTTCACTACAAACGCCTCCTGAGTTCAAGAAATTCTCTTGTCTCAGCTTCCCGAGTAGCTGGGATTATAGGTGCGCATCACCATGCCTGGCTAATTTTTGTATTTTTAGTAGAGATGGGGTTTCGCCATGTTGGCCAGGCTGGTCTCGAACTCCTGACCTCAGGTGATCCACCCGCCTCGGCCTCCCAAAGTGCTGGGATTACAGGTGTGAGCCAGCGCGCCCGCTGACCTTCTCCCTTTCCTTAGCGCTGATTATCTGTGTTTACTGATATGTTATCTCTCCAAAGGTTGCCTGGAAAGGCAGCACAGTGCAGAGGGTCAAGTACAGGCTTTGGCATCAAGCAAACGGGATTCGAATCCTGGCTCCACTGTTTACCAGGTGGTAACCTCTCTATTTCCTCATCTGAAAAATGAAGGTAACATCTTCCTCATAAGTTTTTCATTAGGATTAAATGAAATGCTAAAGTGCTTTGAACATAACAGGAGCTCAATAAATCAATTACAATATTATTAAATATAATTTCCACAATTACAATTTTTTTTTTGAGACAGAGTCTCACTCTCTTGCTGAGGTTGGAGTGCAGTGGCGTGATCTCAGCTCACTGCAGCCACTTACTCCCAGGCTCAGGCAATTCTCCTGCCTCGGTCTCCCAAGCAGCTGGGACTACAGGCACGAGCCACCATGCCTGGCTAAGTTTTGTATTTTTAGTAGAGATGGGGTTTCACCATGTTGGGCAGGCTGGTCTCAAACTTCTGACCTCCAGTATCACCCATCTCAGCCTCCCGAAGTGCTGGGATTACAGGTGTGAGCCACTGTGCCTGGCCACAATTATAAATATTAATATTATTCATAAAGAAGCCATTACTGATCTACCGTCAACAGGACAGGTTATTTTGAACTGCTTTCCTGGAATAGGCAATATAATTTTTTTTTTTTGAGACAGTCTCACTCTGTTGCCCAGACTGGAATGCAGTGGCACAATCCTGGCTTACTGCAACCTCCATCCCACCCCCCGGGTTCAAGTGATTCTCCTGCCTTGGCCTCCCAAATAATTAGGATTACAGGCTTGTGCCACCACGCCTGGATAATTTCTGTATTTTTAGTAGAGACGAGGTTTCACCATGTTTGCCAGGCTGGTCTCGAACTCTTGACCACAAGTGATCCGCTCGCCTCAGCCTCTCAAAGTGCTGGGATTACAGGCATGAGCCACTGCGTCCGGCCTGCAATTTCATACTTTTATATTATATGCATTTTTTTTTTTGAGAGGGAGCCTTGCTCTGTGCTCTGTCACCCAGGCTGGAGTGCAGTGGCACGATCTCAGCTCACTGCAACCTCCACCTCCCAAGTTCAAGTGATTCTCCTGCCTCAGCCAAGTAGCTGGGATTACAGGTGCCCACCATCACACCCAGCTAATTTTTGTATTTTTAGTAGAGATGGAGTTTCACCATGTTGGCCAGGCTGGTCTTGAACTCCTGACCTCAGGTTATCCACCGGCTGCAGTCTCCCAAAGTGCTGGGATTACAGGTGTGAGCCACCACGCCCGGCCTTTTATATGCATTTCTAAAATACTTTCTCAAAAGTTTACAGTGCAGGAGTTAAAAAACAATAGTTTACAAATTATAAAGTTGAGGAAAACTGATTCCCCGAAAACTAAAGAAAAATTATAAAAATCTTGGCTGGGCGTGGTGGCTCACACCTCTAATCTCAGATCTTTTGGAGGTTGAGGTGGGTGGATCATCTGAGTTCAGGAGTTCAAGACCAGCCTCTGGCCAACATGGTGAAACCCAGTCTCTACTAAAAATAGAAAAATTTGCTGGGCATGGTGGTGGGTGCCTGTAGCCCTGGCTACTCGGGAGGCTGGGGCAGGAGAATTGCTTGAACCTGGGAGGCGGAGGTTGCAGTGAGCTGAGATTGCGCCACTGCACTCCAGCTTGGGCGACAGAGCAAGACTCTGTCTCAAAAAAACAAAAAGGCCGGGCACAGTGATTCACGTCTGTAATCCCAGCACTTTTGGAGGCCAAGGAGGGCAGATCATGAGGTCAGGAGATCGACACCATCCTGACCATGGTGAAACCCCGTCTCTACTAAAACACAAAAATTAGCCGGGCATGGTGGCACATGCCTGTAGTCCCAGCTTCTCAGGAGGCTGAGGCAGGAGAATCGCTTGAATCCGGGAGATGGAGGTTGCGGTGAGCCAAGATCATGCCACTGTACTCCAGCCTGGCAAAAGAGCAAGACTCTGTCTCAAAAAAAAAAAAAAAAAGACGCCAGGCGTGGTGGCTCAGGTCTGTAATCCCAGCGCTTCAGGAGCCTGTGGCATGGGGATCACAAGGTCAGGAGTTCAAGATCAGCCTGACCAACATGGTGAAACCCTGTCTACTAAAAATACAAAAATTAGCCAGATGTGATGCTGTGCGTCTGTAATCCCAGCTACTCGGGAGACTGAGGCAGGAGAATTGTTTGAACACAGGAGGCAGAGGTTTCAGTGAGCTGAGAGAGCACCACTACACTCCAGCCTGGGCGACAGAGCGAGACCCCAGCAAAAGAAAGAGAGGAAGAGGGGGGGAGGGAGGGAGGGAAAGAGGGAGGGAGGGAGGGAGGGAGGAAGGAAGGAAGAAAGGAAGGAAGGAAGGAAGGAAAGAAGGAAGGGCTATAAAAATCTGAATTAGAATTCACTCTTTAGGCATAATCTTCCAGAACCCATTTTAAACATCTTACCTGTGCTTTACTTGGTATTTTTTTCCATCACAATTAGACACATAGTTGACTGCCTCAAATCTAATGTGTGTCCAATAGAAGCTAAAGATTCGCTGCTTTGACACACTGATTTCCTTCTTGCTTCTATTGTGTTGAGTTTGTTTATGAGACTTGTTCCTCTCTAGTATCGAGGCTTTCATTATCCTCTTTTTCATTCATTTTTAGAAAAATAAATATAAAATGCAATACAATCCAAATAACAGCCCTCTGCCTACAGATGCAGATGTGAATGCTGCTGAAATTGTACTGCTGGCTGGCAGGTATGCCACCATGTGACGGCTCCAAGTACGCCTTTGCTTGTCAACGCATGCTGCATTTGAAAGGTAGTTGAGGTTGGCAATGATGTATAAAATGTGACTTTACAGGACATAAAAACATAGGTGACCTTTCCTGTCTTGGGCCATTTTGTCTCTCCCTCAACCTCTTCCCCCCACTGTGAACGCTTGATTCTGTTCCCAGGGAGTGCTGTGGTTGGGATCTGATGCTGCAGGTACCCTGAGGCCATAAGCACATGCAGGCGGCAGGTAGACACTCACATGCGCACGGTCTGCTGAATGACTCGGATCCAGGTGCTCCGGTCATCCCGGGATGCTGTGTGCACCTCGTACATCTCAGGTGGGGCTGCGCTGATCAGAAACATCCCTTTCTCCTGGTTGGCAATGTCCCGTACGATTAGATTCTGCAGTGATACCACTGAGGGCTTGTCCTGCCAGTCAGGGGAAAGAAAGGATTAAGCCTTGGAATCCTGACCGTTGGAATATTTAGGCCTTCAATCCTTCTGGATGAAGACTGAAGAATCATCCTACAATACCAGTTAAGAGCCCAGGCACTGATGCCAGCCAGAAGAGACTTAGAAATTGTGTGATCCTTGACAAATTATTTAACCAACTTTAAGTTTTACTTTCATCATCTATAAAATGAGGATGAAAATAATCTTTTCCCACAGGTGTACAAGTGCCTGCGCACAGTAACAATACCTGTGAGCTGCTCTTGTTTTTTATCATTATGGCAATAGTAACAGTAATAGCTGTTTGGCTCTGGGGGCTCCAGAGCTCTAGTGGGCTTGGGCAGGAAAGCAAGAAGGGCCTAAAGCACTTGTCTGTGCTGAGAAAGGTGAAGAACGAATGTCTCACCAGGGTAGGAAAGATGTACTTCTGGTCCTTTTCCTGGAGAAATACCAGCACATCTGTCATCAGCAGCATTAGCACATCTGGCAGGGATGAAGGTGGGAGAACAGTCAGCACTAGACGGTCTGACCAGCTGTTTACCTCTTTCCCAAGGACCAGGCTTATCCCATCAGGTTAGAGCTCCCCATTTCCCTCTTCCTGGCCTTTCTTCCCACTGGCTGCTTCCACTTTTCCAGACCTCTCACCCCTACCCATTGTTTTTTTTTGAGACATCTTGTTGCCCAGGCTGCAGTGCAATGGCATGATCTTGGCTCACTGCAACATCCACCTCCTGAGTTCAAACCATTCTTCCGTCTCAGCCTCCCAAGTAGCTGAGATTACAGGCATGCACTACCAGGCCCAGCTAATTTTGTATTTTTTTTTTTTTTTGAGACGGAGTTTCACTCATGTTACCCAGGCTGGAGTGCAATGGCGCGATCTCGGCTCACTGCAACCTCCACCTCCTAGGTTCAGGCAATTCTCCTGCCTCAGCCTCCTGAGTAGCTGGGATTACAGGCACGCGCCACCATGCCCAGCTAATGTTTTGTATTTTTAGTAGAGACGAGGTTTCACCATGTTGACCAGGATGGCCTCGATCTCTTGACCTCGTGATCCACCTGCCTCAGCCTCCCAAAGTGCTGGGATTACAGGCTTGAGCCACCGCGCCCGGCCTAATTTTGTATTTTTAGTAGAGATGGGGTTTCACCGTGTTGCTCAGGTTGGTCTCAAACTCCTGATCTCAGGTTTATTCACCGGCCTCGGCCTCCCAAAGTGCTGGGATTATAGGTGTGAGCCACTGCACCCAGCCACCCATTCTTACAGCTTAAAAATGGTTGGGGAGGGTGTGGGGCAGAGAAAGATTCATGTGCTATCAGACAAAACAGCATCGTGGGCTAGCAGGGACCATAGGGGTCACTCAGTGTTTCTACGGAAAACACTTTTTACCTGAATGATTCGGGTTTCTTAACCTAGAGCCTACAGACTCCCTGGGATGTCAGGTTTCAGGGGCTCTGTAAACCTTCTGAAGTTGTGTAAACAGTTTTACACAGAAACACAACTCACGTGTATTTTTTTGGGTGACAGGGGCGAAGATTTTTGTGAGAATTCCCAGAGCAAAAGGGACCACACTTTTATTTTTTACTTATTTTTAATTTTAAGTTTTTTATTTTATTATTTTTTTTGAGATGGAGTCTTGCTCTGTCACTCAGGCTAGAGTGCAGTGATCTCAGCTCACTGCAATTCCCTTCTCCCAGATATAAGCGATTCTCCTGCCTCAGCCTCTCAAGCAGCTAGGAACAAGGAGTGTGCCACAATGCCTGGCTAATTTTTTTTTTTTTGAGACGGAGTCTTGCTCTTTCACCAGGCTGGAGTGCAGTGGCATGATCTCGGCTCACTGCAACCTCCGTCCCCCAGATTCAAGTGTTTCCCCTGCCTCAGCCTCCTGAGTAGCTGGGACTACAGGCGCGCACGGCACCATGCCTGGCTAATTTTTCGTATTTTAGTGGAGATGGGGTTTCACCATGTTGGCCAGGATGGTCTCCATCTCCTGACCTCATGATCTGCCCACCTCGGCCTCCCAAAGTGCTGGGATTACAGGTGTGAGCCACCATGCCTGGCCTAGTTTTTGATATTTTTGTAGAGATGGAATTTCACCACGTTGGCCAGGCTAGTCTCAAACTCCTGAGCTCAAGTAATTTGCCTTCCTTGGCCTCCCAACGTGCTGGGATTACAGGCATGAGCCACTGCTGCCAGTCTATTTTTTATTTTGGGGGGGGTGGAGTCTCGCTCCGTTGCCCAGGCTGGAGTGCAGTGGCACGATCTCTGCTCACTTTGACCTCTGCTTCCCAAGTTCAAGCAATTCTCGTGCCTCAGCCTCCCAAGTAGCCGGGACTACACGCAAGCACCGCCACACCCAGGTAATTTTTGTATTTTTAGTAGAGATGGGGTTCTACCGTCTTGACCAGCCTGGTCTGGAATGCTTGACCTCAAGTGATCTGCCCATTTCAGCCTTCCTGGAATTACAGGCCACCACACCCAGCCCGAACCACACTTTTTAGCCTTTAAATTCCATTTCTAATATCTAACTAATGGAGCATCTTTTTGTTATCTGACCTAAATTCTCCCTGTCCTGGCATGCTCCCACTTCTAATTTTGAGCTTGGTAGGGAGGGAGAAAGTTTCCTTCCTCTCACAGAGGACTGAAAGACCATCCCTCACCCATCCATCTCCATCAATCCCAGCAGGCCCTTCCTTCAATTTGTCTGCTTCACACTCCAAGCTCTCAGATCCTATGGGGTCAGCGCTCCAAGACTGAAGGAGGAAACAAAGGTCAATTCCATAAAACTTGAATGTTTGCGAGGCACGGTGGCTCACACTTGTAATCCCAGCACTTTGGGAGGCTGAAGTGGGCAGAGCACAAGGTCAGGAGATTAAGACCATCCTGGTTAACATGGAGAAACCCTGTCTCTACTAAAATACAAAAAATTAGCCAGGCATGGTGGTGAGCGCCTGTAGTCCCAGCTACTCAGGAGGCTAAGGCATGGGAATTGCCTGAACCAGGGAGGCAGAGGTTGCAGTGAGCTGAGATGGCGCCACTGCACTCCAGCCTGGCAACAGAGCAAGCCTCCGTCTCAAAAAAAAAAAAAAAAAAATTTGGATGTCACAATCAAGGAAACACAGAAGGCCACGCATAGTGGCTCAGGTCTCCAATCCCAGAACTTTGGGAGGCTGAGGCAGGAGAATCGCTTGAGGCCAGGAGTTTGAGCAAGACTAGCCTAGGCAACATAGCAAGACCTTGTCTCTACAAAAAATTTAAAAATTTGCTGGGTGTGGTGGTGCACGTCTGCAGCCCCAGTTACTCAAGAGTCTAAGGCGGAAGAATCACTTGAGCCCAGGAGTTTGAGTTACAGTGAGCTATGACTGCACCACTGCACCCCAGCCTGAGCAACAAAGCGAGACCCTGTTTCTAAAAAAAAAAAAAAAAAGGAGAGAGAGAAAACATACACTCACCCTTTGCCCTTGGGGATTTTACTAAACTGTGGGCACACAGCAGGGGAGGGCTTTTGCTAAATGCTTCAGAAATAACGCTCTCCAGCCTTGCTATTTTTAATCTCCCATGGTTTATATTCTTAGCTGCCGCGTGGGAGGGATGGGAAGGAGAGAAAGGGATAAAGGAAAGAGGCTGGAGAAGACTGATGATATCCAAACCCAGGGAGCAGGGATTTCATGACATGGGTACAAAGGCTCAGCCAGGCTCTGGCCTCAGGTATCACAGTTTCCTTTTGTCCCTTACATCTCACCCCCAAAGCCAAGGCCTGCTATTCTCTTGCTTTCATTTAGGTAGGAAAGACTTTCCCAGCACGGACAAATTTCGGACAGAGAGCCTGGGAAAGTGTGCCCCGGCCCCTGATCTTCCCCCTCTGCTCCGCTGTCTCTTCTCTTCCCTGCCTGTCCTTCACAGGCTCAGTCCCCTTTTCTGGGCCTCGCTGGCTGCACTCCCCAAGCTCCTGCTTACTTCCATCCCTGGTAGCTGGGATTCCAGCTGGGGGAATCAACTGATCCTGTCCTCCAGTCTGAGAGTTTCTTTGTCTTTCTCAGTAAAACTGGTAGCTCTCTGGACATGCAAGAACCAAAGAAATGAGAAAATACTGATAAGGAAGGCCCTGGTATGGTCCATAAAATTAACTGCAGAATTCTGACTTTTGCTGCCACAGAGACCCCAATTTTTTCTCCCATAGTCTCATTGTCGTATGGGCTGCATAAAGAAAGGTTGATTCTAAGGCCTGCAGGCATCTCCCACTCTCCATCGACTCTCAACTCCTGCCTAGTCTGCTCAGCAAGTCTGACCTTTGAAGCGCCCCGTTGCTGTCTTCCAAAGCAGGCAGCCATCGTGGATGAGTTTGCGCCGCAGAAGTTCCTCTCGGCCAAAGGGGCCCTTGCCAGGCACTGGGGTCTGGGCCCGAGGGTCCATGCGGTTGTAGATCTCCTGTAGACGGGCCCCTTTCTCCAGCTCATGAACATCCTGGTCCACATTGGACAGCAGCTCCTTCACTAGCCCCAGTGCCGTGGTCAGGTCCTGACGCTCCTCCTCGATCCCTGGCACCGGGGGTTGGCATGGGGGAAGGTTCAGCCAGCTACACTCACACCCCAGTTCCCATCGTGTCTTGATTCCACCTTTAGAGGCTGCCCAGGGTTCAACACCCGACCCCACCCTTCCTGTGGTCATCCCAAGCCCTTCCTCGCCCCAGGTGGCGGTCTCCCAGCGGCCCCCTCCTGGGCCTGCCTACTCACCGTGGGAATGCTGCAGGATGCGGCTGAGCAGCACCGGGTACTTGGTGATGCGCTGAGTCACCAGCAGGATGCACTCCTGTACCCCGTGCCGCTTGAGCACGGCGGAGCGGGTCACTTTCTACAAGGGAGGAGGCAGGGCTCAGGGCCAGAGGGGAGGGCAGCGGAAAGGCCTGGTACCTGAGCTCTGGTGCTGGCCCTGCCGTGGCCATGTATTTACCTCACGCTGGCCTAGGTGACACGTTTGGAAAATGGGGATAGCAAAGCCACAGGTCTGTAGTGAGGACCAACTGAAGGAGTGAAGAGCGCTTGGGAAACTACCACAACATGATCTAGCACTCTGAGGGGTTACTGCTGATGAGATCCACGTGTAGATAGTCCGCACAGGTGGTCAATGCCTGACCTCCATGTGGGTGCAGCTCACCAGCACTGCCCCATGAGTCAGGGAGGGTGGGTTTGGGCCATGAGCGTGGGATCTGGAGAGGTCGGCTCACCCGGATGAATTGCTGGAAGCGTTTGTCTCGGGCATACAGCTCCTTATAGAGCTTTAAGGCCTTGGTGTGGCGGCTGCAGAACTCAGAGTAGGTCTTCCGCATCTGCTCCGCGCTAGGACCTGAGAACTGGAAGTTGGTGGAACAAGTCTAGGTCAGTATTCCCCCACAGCCACACTGTACCCACGGGACACGCCTCTGGCCTCCTGCTAAACAGACTGGCTTCCTGTCTCTCCAGCTTTCCCTGGCTCCCCTCCAACCCCTAGAGTTTGGATGCAAGAAATACGCAACCCAGTCACACCTCCTTCCATGAATGTCACCCAGGGGTCCTGCCTTTCCCCACCTGGCTGATGAGCAGATCACCCAAGCGGTGGATGACAAAGTTCCGGGTGCTGCCAGGGCACAGGGCCTGGCGTCGGCGTTCTAACAGCTGGCTGAGGAAGCGTGTGTGGATGTCACTGAGCTCGTCCACACAGGGGAACAGGCCATGGACCACGCCGGGCTCCAGCTGTAGCTCTTCTAGCATCCCCGTGCGGAAGAGGCGGGTCATGATCTTCAGTGTTCTCACATGGTGCAGCTCTGTCTGGATTAGCTCTGTGGGAGACAGAGGGACATTTGGCCTCTTCCCTTGCTTGCCTGAAACTGGCGGGGCCGTAGAATAAGGACCTCATGGCTCACGTGAGGTTTCCAAGGTCCCTTCCAGGTTGATATTCTGCATTATTATGATGTTAGATCATCTTCTAATCATTTTGATCTTTTAAAAAACTTATTATTTTTTTTTTCCCAGAAATGAGCTCTTGCTCCGTTGCCCAGGCTGGAGTGTAGTGGCACAATGACAACTCACTGCAGCCTTGAACTCCTGGGCTCAAGCAGTCCTCCTGTCTCAGCCTCCCAAATAGCTGGGACTATAGGCACACGCCACTATACCTGGCTAGTTTTTTAAAATATTTTTTAAAGACAGAGGTCTTGCTTTGTCGCCCAAGTTGGTCTCAAAATCCTGGCATCAAGTGATCCTCCCACCTCAGCCTCCCAAAATCGCTGAGATTATAGGCATGAGCCACCACGCCCAGCTCCATTTTTTATCTTTACACCTTATCATCTCAAGCTGTGAGCTATTTTAGGGCAAGAACCATATGTCTTCTACATGTCGAGGCTTCCCACAGCCTCCAGCACGGTGTCAGGCGTGGAACAAGCACAGCGTAAAGACCGAAGATTGAGATAAAGAAGGGATACAGAGGGCGTTGGAGACCAACAGCATCCAGAGGCGGGGCCTACTGGGCAACTTGTGGGATACAGGGCAGGGTCTTGGAGGCCAAGAGGATATAAGGGAAAGGGTTTTCAGAGGTAGGGGATGGTAGAAAGAAGGACACAGCTGGGCACGGTGGCTCACACATATAATCCCAGCACTTTGGGAGGCTGAGGTGGGCAGATCACCTGAGGTCAGGAGTTCTAGACCAGCCTGGTCAACATGGCGAAACCCTATCTCTACTAAAAATGTAAAAATTAGCCAGTCATGGTGGCTGGCACCTGTAATCCCAGTTACTCAGGAGGCTGAGGCAGAGAATCGGCCTGAATCGGGAGGTGGAAGTTGCAGTGAGCCGAGATCATGCCACTGCACACTCCAGTCTGGGCAACAGAATGAGACTCGGTCTCAAAAAAAAAAAAAAACAAAAAAAAAACAGGACACAGATAAACAGGACTAGGTGAAGGAAGAGGAAGACCAGGGCGGTCTTGGTCTTGGCTCACCATAGATGACATCCTGCTGCTTCATCACCTCCTTCTTATGCTGCTGCAGGAAGCTGCTGTCCACAGCCAGGCTCCAGGAGTCAGCTGCAAAGTCCTTCTCATCCATCTCAAAGTCACTCATCAGCTCGTTGTAGATTACCTCTGCACCTGAACATGTGCACGGCAAGCAACTCAGAGGTCGTGAGTTCCCTTCCCTGGGTCCTTGGCCCTTCTCTAGATGCCTTCCCTCCTTGCCCTTCCCAGGCAACTCCCACCAGCCTCTCATCCGCAGCCCCTCTTCATCTTCCTCGAAGCTCCTCGGGGCCCAGGCCTGCTCACCTTCGTCAATGAGAGATTCCACTGATAGGGTTCGGTTCCGCATGTTGAGGGAGTCTGTGGACTGTGAGAGGATCCGGCGCAGCCCCAGGGGAGACTCATCATTGAAATGTCTGAAGAAAGTGGGGGCTGTCTGTATCACCCCCAGTCGGGCAAGAGACCCCTTCCCAGGTACGGAACCAAAGCCAAGATCCAAGAGGCAGTCCCCCTAAGTTCTCCTTACTCATCTGTCTACAGTTCTGAACTCAGGGATGGAAAGGGACCTCTCAGCACCCCTTGGTCTCCACTGCCACAGTCTCTGCCTGCCCCTTTCTCCAAAGAGAGGCTCACCCAGCAATATTGGTGGTGGAAACACTCTTGGCTAAAGACAAGGAGGAGCGGCCACGGCGGGAGCCGAGGAGGGACTGCCGGAAGCTGTCGGAGGGGTAGATGGCTGAGCTCGGCCGTTCCCGGATGGTTGCTGTGAGGGAGAGAGACCCAGCAGGCAAACATCACACTCTGGTGCTTCCCAGGACTGAGGCCTCCCAGGCTCCTTAATGAGGAACGAGGCATCCCCTCACTTCACCTCAGCCCCCTCTAGTCAAGAAAGATGGTAACGATGCCACCTTACATTGGTGCAATACCTCAATGTTCACAAAGAGCTTTTTCTTACTTATCGCCTCCCTGACATAAGCCTACGAACAAATGGGAGCTCAGAAAGGCAAAAAGACTTGTCCAGGGTGACTTGGCTGATGGCTGGGCAGGGACTGAGGCTCTCCTCTTTACACCTGAGTGCCATGCTCTTTCTGTTACACCAAAGCTGTCTGAATTGACACTTGACAGCTGCCACCAACACTCCCAAAATGCAGTGTAAATAACTGATAAAAATACAGGTTGTGGCCAGGCTTAGGCGACCACCCATCTCCAGCCCTCATCCCCATTTGGACTCTCCTGTCCTGCTTCTGAGTCCAAGAGTCTGCGCCATCCCTTAGGCCCCGCTATCTGCTTCTAATTGAGAAGAGGAAGGTGCTGTGCTTGGGAACAACCGTAGGGGGGCAGCAGAGCCCATGTGTTAAGCAGCCTGGGGTTCAGGGGCTTGGGGGCCTCCTCCACTCCCCAACTACTCACTCTTACTTCGAAGAGACACGGACTGCAAGGCAGTGTTGTTTTTCAGCAGGGCCGCTTTCTGTTGCTGTGAGACAGAGCAGGAGAGAGATACCAAGAATGGCCGTCACCCAAGGATCACCCTGGAGGCATGGGGCAGGAGCTAGGAGGCTGGCCCCCTTAGGAGAAACCTGGCACTGTGATTAAGGGGATCAGGGTGGTTGAGCCCAGCGCTGCAGGGACGTGTCTGCAGCAACAGGCCTGGCCTACGTGGGGCCCGAGGCCAGGGGTTGAGGGTCTGGGCTGCCCCATGGTGAGGAGGTGGGGTGGTGAGAAACACAGGGTAGGGAATGAATGGAAAAGGCATGAGGGTACCGCACACTCACTACCCTCTCCCCCAGCCCTCTGCCCTCCCTGCCGTCTCACCTTCTGCTTGACCTTGGTACAGTTGGCGAGGGTGTCTTTACAGCGGTTGTGGATAGTCACATTGCAGGCTGGGAGGGTGGGGTAGAGAGGGTGAAGGGAGGGCCGGGTGGTACAGGAGGGGACACACCCACATGCAGACACCCATCTCCTCCTGGCCACACAGTCCTCAGGGATTCTCCCCCCTTCCCCGACTTCTGGGCCATTACCACACGCCAGTCCCCCTCCTCCCACCTCCCTCTTCCTTCAAGCAGGAAATGAAGTGAGGGGGGTATAGGTGCTGAATGAAATTAAACAATCAGGTGGGATGGGCAATCCTGACCCCAAGGCGGCCTGAGGGGTGGACCAGAGGGGAGCAGGGGTCACTGGCTGCCAGAGATGAGCTCAAGAAGCACGAAGGTGGTTGTGAATGGCAGATGGAAGAGAGGACTCCCACAGAACAGAAGATGGCACAGAGGCAGCCGGGATGGGGCTGGGGCAGAGGGGAAATTTACATTCCCTGAGCTTTTATCATAGTCAAGGTTCCACATTTACTTAATCCTAACCACCCGTGGAGGGAGGTTCAGTTATCCTCATATCATGTATGAGGAGCCTGTCCTGGAGTGGCTAAATCTGTCCGGGGTCACACAGCCAGTGGGAGAGCTGGGGTTTACACTCCAGCAGGCCTGAATCCAAGGGCCATGCTCCTTCTCTTGCACCACATGCCCTGGACTCCCTGGGCCTCAGCAGCTCCAAGGCTGATGGCTCCAGTGGCAGAGAAGGGATATGACCTGCCTTGCCCCAACCCTCCCCACCAAGCCTGGCCTTCTCCCTTCCAGGCCCAGGAGTCCTGTTCCCCCAACTCAGGCAAATCCACAGCTCCCACACTCCATCTGCTTCTCCGCCATCCTCCACCCCACCTTGCCACGGGGTAGGAGAGAAGAAGAAAGGAAGAATAGCCGAGCCTAGGCACTGGGGCCCCGGCCATGCCCTTCCCAGACATGCCCTCAGCTCCGGGCCCTCTCCAGCTTCCCCTCCCCCATCCAACAACACCGGAAACTCTGCTAACTCTTTCAGACAATACCCAGCACCACGCTCACTTCCACAAATACAAGGCAAACAGGGTGGAGCAGAGGGGGCAGACAGAAGTGGGGGTTGCAGCTGCCCCCACCCCTCTGGAGCTCCCTTCTCCCACCCCCAACACTCAGTGTCTCTGGATCGAACCTCCGCTTTCCACCTGCTCTCAAAATAGTGCTGCCCGCCTCCCCTGTTCCCCTGGCAACAAGCTTCCGGATTGGGAATTTTGTCAGGTCTCTACAGGGATCTAGATTGGGGTTCCCTCCTCATCCTCACAACTCTAAGTTGAACAGTGAGGAAAGCAGGGAGGCTCCACTGGTTCTTTCTGGGGGTAACTTCCCCAAGTTCCACAGGGATTCACAGGCTACAGCTGTTGTCAACTATTCAGTAGCAGGTCACAATACCTTCAAACCTGCTCTAATCAGAGGCACCTCTGCCATAACTTCAGGAGGAAATGAGGGAGAGGGGGCAGCAGGAGCCCTCTGTATAGGCATCCTGGGGAAGGAAAGAATTCCTGGCTTATACTCCCTAAAGACAGGGCTACACTCAGATCTGGATGAAGGGCAGGGATTCTAACCCCTGCCCCCAACACACACATCCCTGCTGCATTCCCTCTTTCTCACTGTGTAGTCAGACTAGAAATTTGAGATGAAGGGTCCTAATCCCTCTTCTGCTTGAAACATCAGAGGTTTCAGGCTCCACCCATAGTCAACAGAAAGGAAGGGGCAAGGGGACTGTGAAGTCCTGAATGCCCGGCTCTGCCCAGGAAGATGGGCAGAGCCAGCTGCAAGGCTGGCAGCTTTCCACCCAGTTCCTCTATCACCCCCACACCCCACTCCCTCCACACATACAACATTCCTGCTCCTTCTCCAGTCAGTTCCCCTAACCCTTAGCAGCTGTTCGGGGAGCAAGAGGGGTGCCCGGTGGATGACAGCTGCAAGGGGAGCCAGCCCAGCCTCCCCTCCCCCACATCCCAGATAGTCCGGCTTATGCCATATTCTAACAGCCACCACCCCTCAGCTTGAGGACAGGGAGCAAGGGATCAAGCATCTGGCCCTGGCATTTTGGCCCAGCTGGGGATGAGACAGAAGAGTGACCCTCATGGGTCCAAGCAGAAAAAAACAGATGCAAAGATCGGGGTCAGCGGGCACTGAGTCTGGGTGACTCTTAGGGTCCAAACAACTTACTTGGGCAGATGAGAGCTTCCTTGGCTGTGATGCTCTTGTTACAGGCATAGCACATGGTCATGCCTGAAACTGAGATGGTGGTGAAGAGGTGCCCGTTGGTATAGCGGGCATCCTTGGCTTCCTTCATCTTCTCCTTTTCCCGGGCCTGCGGAAGGGGTGAGAGAGAGAGGAAGTGAGGCTGGAAAATGCCAGGGTGCCTGGAGTCCAGAGAGACAGGCTGGGGGCAGAGGCAAGGAAGAAATGCCAGCCTGAGGATGCTGCAAAGACATCAGTTCCTAAAGCAGAGCCTGCAACTGGGTGTCAGAGGCAGCTGTCCGGGAGTGAGCAGGCCAGGCTCTGGGGCAGCCAGCCCAGATGGCTTCTGGGTCCCTGACCTACCTGGCCCCTGCGGCTGGGCTGCCTCCTATTGCCACTCATCTCCCTGGCTCGAGGTCTCTGCGTCCTCACTCCACCTTCCCAGCCCCAGCTCTGCTCGCCCCCGAGCTGCTGTACTCTCTTCTCTGTGCTAGGGGGAAGATGCGCAGAGAGGAGGGGAGAGCAGGCGAAGCAGAGGGTGCCAGCTCACCAGCGCTTTCCAATCTATGGGAGTTAGCTCCTCTTATAACCATGACAACCGATGTTGGAGCCGCTGTCTCCGTGGCAGTCACAGTGGGGGGGCAGGAGATCCCCTTATTAGATTGGCTGAAGGGGGCAGAATGCCTCCCCCTGCAACCCCCAAGCCAGGGGTCAGGATCCCAAACCTCTAGCTCTTTTCGCCAACCCTCAGCCAAGGCACACGGGCCTGTCTGGGAGGCAGCATGTCCCCTCATAGCCTCAAGGCAAGGGCAGCTGCCTTTGGGTCACCCCTCCATTCTGGGATCTTTAAGTAAGGAAGCTCAGCCAGCCATCTCGGTTGCTTTTGGCAGAAACTCTCTCCCGCAATCTAACTTTTACCCCTCTCATACTATCCTCCAGAGTGAAAATCTAGGAGAGTCTTCTTTTGCTCCTCACTCAACTGGGCTCTCCCACCCTAAGGAGTCCTTTCTGAGATCTACCCTCCATCCTTCAGCGCTGGTCTCCACAAATGGCGCACACCTTCCTCGGAGCCTCCGAGCCGGCCTTTCCCGTCTCTGCTGTCTCCCATTTCCCCCAGTATCCCTGCCTCTGCAAGTCGAGTCATTCTCCCTGACCTCCAATCTGTCCCTCCTCAAGTCCCTGTGCTTCCCAAAAAGCCTGAGAAGGTGAGAAGCGGGGGATATCACTCTTCCCACTATTCTAGGACCTTCCTCAGTTGTGACCTCTGATCTCTAGATTTTCCCTCGGCTCTTGGAGCAGGAGTAGAAATTGACAAGACCACTCCCTCCAAGGTTTGCCAGGCTCTCAGAAATCAGAGCAGGATCCAGATGGCTGAGGGTAGAAGTCCCAAGATGGAGGCTCTGGGCTGGGGACAAAGAATTACAGTTCAGTGGGGAGCACTCAGCCCAGACTCTAGAAGGCCAGTACTGACTCAGCCCAGGCCATTCGAGCAGCTGAGAGGTGGAGGAGGTAGAGACTCACAGGCCTGGTGGTCAGGGCAGAAAAGGGTAGAAAGGGGAAGTGTGGAGGGGCTGAGTCAACAGTGCAGGGACAGAGGGCATGGGGCTGCAGTGCCTCGGATCTCAGAGCTTCCTGGTGGCCCAAGATCCTTCTCTTTCCTGCCTTTCCTCCCAAGCTCCAGGTTTGCCTGATGATGTGCAGAGCCCAGAGGTCTTTGGGTCAATCTCTTCTTCCTTCTCCCCTCATGCATCCTCCCCACCCCCAATCATCCGTTGTTGTTCTCCTCCTCCTCCTCCTCCTCCTTCTCCTCCCCCTCCTCCTCCTCCCTTCTCCTCTCAGGGTCTCCTTCCTGGGCTCCTCCCCCTCTGCCTTCCCTTTCTCAGTCTTGCTTCTCCGCCACTGTTCTCTCCTGCCCACGGCCTCTTCTCCTCTCCTCCTCACGCAGGCCAGCTGCTCCTCTACCTAGGCTTATTCAGGAAGCTGAGCTGCCTCTGGTCTCAAACTCAGATCTCTAAACTGTTCTGGCCTCCTTTTTTCTATTCCAGTACCTACCTACTTGGACCACTAGAAAATGCTCCCTTTGGTCTAACCTCCACCTATCTTGTGCCAAATCATAGCTCTTTAGAAGTTCAAATTCAGGCTGGGCGCAGGGACTCACATCTGTAATCCCAGCACTTTGGGAGGCCAAGGCGGGCAGATCACCTGAGGTGAGGAGTTCGAAATCAGCCCGGTCAACGTGGTGAAATCTTGTCTTTACTAAAAATACAAAAAATTAGCTGGACATGGTGAAGGCCACCTGTAATCCCAGCTACTTGGGAGGCTGAGGCAGGAGAATCACTTGAACCTGGGAGGTTGGGGGTTGTGGTGAGCCAAGACTGGGCCACTGCACTCCAGCCTGGGCCACAGAGTGAGACTCCATCTCAAAAAAAAAAGTTCAAATTCACCTCTGAATAATAACCTCCCAGGATCTCAAAGACCAAGTCCAAATACCTCTTCCCACTGCCATACACTCTCTCTTTTCTCCTGTTCTCCTGCCCTTCCAGCCTTCTCTATGACACAAATCCAAAGTTTGAGAATTTATCACATTTGAATTAAAAGCAAGAGGCCAGCGAGGTCACTCACACCTATAATCTCAGCACTTCGAGGGGCTGAGGTGGGAGGATCACTTGAAGCCAGGAGTTTGGGAACAGCCTGGGCAACACAATGAGACTCTTGTCTCTATTAAAAATAAATAAATAAATAATAAATAAATAAATAAAGCAAGCTGAAAATAGTATTAACAAAAAAAATATGGCTGGAACAGGGTCACTCCCGAATGGGCAATGCTGCCACTCTGCCCCAATGCTGCTACAAGTACCCTCTTCCACACCTGACCTCTGCCCTCCTCCTCCCCCCTGTGGCTGCCACAAACACTCATCTGCCTCACCAGCTCAGATGGAGTGGCAAAGGGAGGAAGAGGACTAGGACAGCCAGAGAACAGGGTCTCTAGTGGCTCTTCCCCTCTCTGGCATCGATGCTCCATAGACAGCCCCGGTACTCTGGGCCCTGCCTCCTCCACCTCCCAACACTCACCCTTTCTCGAAGTGATCCCCGCTCTAGGTGGGCCAGCAGCGGGCAGCTGCCACAGCAGCAGCACATCCCAGCACGGGCACTGCCCAGCAGGAAGCAGCCCTGGCACTGCCTAGTGCTATTGTCCCGGAGGTGGCCTGTGCCCGCCCCAGGGCCCAGGCTTCTGAGGATGGAAGGACATAGGGCCTGCTTCCCAGGGATGCCTGCTCCTGAGATGCAGTAAGTGGGCTTGTTTGGTTCTTTGTCCTACTCTTTTCCAGGTATTCTAAAGATAATCACGCTGTTCTCCAATTTACCCACGCCTAAGTAGGCCGCCCCTTTACCTCCAGGACCCAATCCGTCCACCAAGAAAAATGGCCCATTACTCCATAATCCATAACCTCCACCCCAGTGCTCAGAGGCCCTTCCTGCTTGGTTCAGTCCTCTGCTCTCCAGCATCTAGAGTCATTCTTTATCTTTTCTTTTTTTTTTCTTTTTGAGACAGGGTCTCACTCTGTTGCCCGGACTGGAGTGCACTGGCACGATCGTGGCCCACTGCAGCCTCAACCTCCCGGGCTCAAGTGATCCTTCCACCTCGGTCCTCCAAGTAGCTGGGACCACAGGCATGCATCATGATGCCCAGCTAATTTTTAATTTTTTTTTTTTATAGATAGGGTCTTGCCATGTTGCCCAGGCTGGTCTCGAACTCCTGGGATTAAGTGATCCTCCTGCCTCGGGCTTCCCAAAGTGCTGGAATTACAGGTGTGAGCCACCACACTCAGCCCTACAGTCATTCACTCTTTCTCACAAATCCCATGGGAAGTTCTTCTTGCTACACACCTTCATTCACACTACTGCTACATCAAGGGTAAAGTAAATAAAGAACATGAAAGCCCTTAGCACAATACCTGGTATACAACAGGCACCCAATACATGTCTCAAAATGAAAGAAAAGGAAGGAAGTGGCCAGGCGTAGTGGCTCATGCCTGTAATCCAAGCACTTTGGAGGCCAAGGTGGGCGGATCACCTGAGTTCAAGACCAGCCTAACCAACAAGGTGAAACCCTGTCTTAAAAAAAAAAAAAAAGAAAAAGAAAAGAAAAGAAAAGGAAGGAAGCAAAGAAGCAAGAAGGGATGCATGGACACCAAGACATGGGATCTCAGCAGCACCCTGGCCCCTACTCGGAATCCTCTTCCTTGTCAGAGCTTTAGAACCTTCTGTCTCTTCTTGTTTCTCCTTTCCCCCTCCTCCTGAAGGGATCTCAGCCATTCTCTCCTATTTCCTTTGAGCGTAGACCCTGAGGATTTCCTCTGGAAGTCAGAAGACGAACCCCAAACTTCCTTCCACTGTCTTCCTAGATCTCAGTCACTTTTGTTAAAGAGATACAGGGCTGGGCCAGGCGCGGTGGCTCACACCTGTAATCCCAGCACTTTGGGAGGCCGAGGCAGGCAGATCACTTGAGGTCAGGAGTTCGAGACCAGTCTGGCCAACACGGTGAAACCCCATCTCTACTAAAAATACAAAAACTGGCTGGGTGTGGTGGCAGGTGCCTGTAATCCCAGCTACTCAGTAGGCTGAGGCAGGAGGATCGCTTGAACCTGGGAGGCAGAGGTTGCAGTGGGCCAAGATCACACCACTGCACTCCAGCCTGGGCAACAGAGTGAGACTCCATCTCAAAAAAAAAAAAGAAAAAATAAAGAAGGACAGGACAGGACAAGACTAATGGCAGACGGCATCGGGGCTCTCCTTCGAAAAGCTCAAAGGCAGATACAGTCTCCCCTCTTCTCTCCACTTTGTCTCCCAGGCTAAGGGATGAGGAAACAGGGACGTACATGGAGGAGAAGGCAATGCCAAGGTTGGGACTTTGGCTTCCTGTGCTCCCAGCAGGCAGCAAGCCCTGGCAGATCCACCCAGGCAAAGTAGAGCTTCTCCAGGCAAGTCCTAAGCTCTCATCTGCCTTTTTTTTTTTTAAATAATAGATTTTTTAGGGCCGGGCGCTGTGGCTCACGCCTGTAATCCCAGCACTTTGGAAAGCCGAGATGGGTGGATCACAAGGTCAAGAGATTGAGACCATCCTGGCCAACACGGCGAAACCCCGTCTCTACTAAAAATACAAAAATTAGCTGGGCATGTTGGCAGATGTCTGTAGTCCTAGCTACTCAGGAGGCTGAGGCAGGAGAATCGCTTGAACCCGGGAGGTGGAAGTTGCAGTGAGCTGAGATGGTGCCACTGCACTCCAGCCTGGCGACACAGTGAGACTCCATCTCAAAATAATAATAATAATAATAACAGATTTTTTTTTTTTGAGACGGAGTTTCGCTCTTGTTACCCAGGCTGGAGTGCAATGGCACGATCTCAGCTCACTGCAACCTCTGCCTCCTGGGTTCAGGCAATTCTCCTGCCTCAGCCTCCTGAGTAGCTGGGACTACAGGCACGCGCCACCATGCCCAGCTAATTTTTTTGTAGTTTTAGTAGAGACAGGGTTTCACCGTGTTGATCAGGATGGTCTCGATCTCTTGACCTCGTGATCCACCCGCCTCGGCCTCCCAAAGTGCTGGGATTACAGGCGTGAGCCACCGCGCCCGGCCTAATAACAGATTTTTTAAACTTTTTTTTTTATAGAGATGAGGTCTCACTATATTGCTGGCCTCAAACTCCTGAGCTCATGCGATCCGGCTGTCTCGGTCTCCCAAAATGCTCAGATTGCAGGCGTGAGCCACTGTGCCCGGCTCTCTCAGCTGCCTTTGGTTCTCTCTCAGGTACGTGCAAATCAAGACTTCTGGGAGAGTCACACAGTACTCAGAATCACCTCTCCTCTAGCTGCACTGGCAGCAGCCCCTTCCCCAAGATGGCGACACCTCTGTCCATACCCTCTGTGATAGCGACCAGAGAGAACGTGGAGAGTTCCGCCGCGATTCGAATCACCTGTGGCTCAGCCCCTGGACAGCAGAGGCGCCGTTAGCTATGCAGGGCACTGAGTCCTGGAGGATGAGCTATAGGGCTGGGAAATGAAGAGGTGAGGGGTTGCTGGCCATGGGACTGAGAAGAGGGCTTGAGATGGCCTTGGCCAGGCCCTGCCCCTTTATGAGCTTCCAGGGACAAGGTGAAGACAGGAGGCGGAGGGGAAGGCAGCCAAATGGAAACGCTAATGCCAATGCCAGAAACAACACAGAAAGACACCACTGAACACACAAAGGCACTTAATACATGCTCGCTGAGTGAATGAAGATGAGACACTGGCAATGGGGGTGGGCACATGCGTGAAACAGAAGAGGAGTGCCCAGGGCCACAGGGAATAAATCAGGTTAGGGACCCTGAGACCCAAGCATTCTGGACCCTAGCCTGCCCCCTACCCGGCCACACCTGTCAGGCCAGGAGAGAGAGACAAGCAGAAAGAGAGAGGGGGGTAGCGATGCAAACAGACAGGCATTTGTGCAAGCGAACAATAGCTGTGCCAGGACTCCCTGCCCTCCTGGCACAGGGCAGGCCGGCTGGGTTGGGAGGGGGGCAGCTGCTGCCTGCAACCCCACCCCCACCCTCTCCCAAGGAGACATAAACAAACCCTGAAGGGTCCAGCCAGCTCCTCTCAGCCTTTTCTCTTACCAACTTCAGAAATCCTGACCAATCCGCTCACTCAGCTCCTAGATGACACTTTCAAACAGAAACTAAAGCTAAAGATGGAGCTACTTCCTAATGGCCAGAGAGCACGAACCCCTACTTTGGTGACCGCTGTTCAAAACAGCAGCCCAGAACATCTGGGGACAGACATAGGAGGGCAGGCCGCAGACAGACTCACGGACACACCAGCGCACCAAACACGCACACGGAGGGTTCTCACATTCAGATCTGTCCCCTCTGATTCCAAGGTCACAGTTCCAGAGCCAGAGTGGCTGAGATCAGACCCCACTGTAACTCCACTGGTCAGCCTTGGTAGGTCCTTCCCCAGTCCCCGTCTAACCTCCTGCAAGTCACTCAGTGACTTCCCTAAGCTTTAGGCTCCCTTCCCCCATCCTGACTTCTCCCCTCCCCCCCAGCTCTGTCCCTAACTTTCATGACCCCCAGAACCTTTATAATGTCCCCCAGAAGCCTCAGCCACCCACAGGACCCCCCATTCTTCCACTCTCTTCCAACGGCGTCAGCCCCCTCGGCTCCCTCCTGGGCTCCCCCAGCCATCCTCTCCGCTGCACTCCTAGTCCTGCACACAAAGCCGGCCACCTCTCCATTCCTCAGAACAAAGGCACAGTCGCTCTGCACACTCCCCACTCCACCTGCCCACCACACACTCCAATGCTGCGGTCTTAGGGATTCCAAGGGGACCCCCAGCCTCCACAGTCATCCCTGGATCTCTGGTCCCTGCTTGGCAGAAAAGGACTCTTTGTTCTAAGCCAGATGAAGGCTGGGGTTTGGGAAAGGAGAAAGGGAAGAATGGGGTGGCTAAAGAGAGAAAGGGGACTTGTGGGGTCTGGGGCTTGTGGAGGTAGGAAGCAGGGCAGAGAGAACTGAGGAGGTGGAGGACTGAAGACAGCCTGGAAGAACAGAAATGCAGTGAAAAGAAAAAGGAAGCATGGAGGGGGCTACACAGAGAGGTCCCGTGAGGATGGGATGGAGGAAGGGCAGGTTAAACTTACATTCCTCCTCCTAGGAGGAGCTCCCAGGGAGGGAGGCAAGGAATGGGGAGGAGTGGAGGTGTCAGGGCTTAGCTGTGACCCATCCCCCCAAGGAGGTAGCAGGGGAGACCATCTTCCTCAAATAATGTCTTTTCCAGCGGCGCCCCTCTACTTCCCACCACAGTATAAAAAGAAAGGAGACAGCTGGTGTGCTGGGGGGAGGGGAAGAGGGGATCCAGGGTTTGTTGGCTAAGAACCAACTCCCCCTTCTGTAACCACAGCTTTCCGGAGGTGGCCCTCCCCTTCCGACCAGCCCAAACTGACAACCACCCTCCTCCTGTGGCCTCTTGGCCCTCTCAGATCCACCCACTCAGCCCCCCACTCCCCTCTGCCAGCCAGATTCCCAAATTACCCGCCCCCCACAGCCAGTCCCCAGGGTAGGAAGAACTGCCAGTCCCCCCCACCACCAAAAAAACAAAAACAAAAACAAAAACAGAGGATGAACACCCAGGTGTCTGACCTCCCAGCTCCCCACAATAATGGAAAAGGGATCCCAGTATCTACTGTGCCAGAGCCAATCTCTATGTCCCGAAGCCAGGTCTTCCCCCCACCGGCTCCCCCATGGCTTTCCTTTTTAGGGTGGAACCAAATTTCCATGGTTTCAAAAAACCTCTCCCGCCCCCCTTGGCTCTACTCCAGGGTCTCAGCTCAAACGGTTGAAAAAATAAACAGACTTTTGGAGCTGGGGCCTGGCCTGGCCGGCGGCTGGGAAGAGCCTGTCTGCCACCCCACTGCTCCACCACACTTCAGCCACCTCACCCCGGCCCTCTGTTTGTCTTAGGCCCTACTCAAATCCCCAGTTGCTTTCCGGACAGCAAAATCTAATCCCAACCCCCTAAGGAAAGTCTTTGAAGCCGCCTTTCCTGGCCCTCCACCCCCAACCCAGGATGGAACTTCTCCCAGTTTAGCAACAAGACAGGTAGCCAGGCTAGGAACTAGCAGGGAGGGGGAAGGGAGGGCGTTCTATCTCCCTTAAGGACTCCAAAGAGGTACTGCTCCCCTGCCTGAAGATGGTGATCAGCATAGGCTGGCACCAGGGCAAGGCACTGAGGTTGGAGACAAGCCAGAGATTAAACCAGCTCTGGGCTGGGACCTGGCCTGTCTGATAGTGGGTACAGTGTGGGTGCCCCAAGGAGCCGGTGTCGGCAGGCACCACCTTCCTTTCAGCTCTGACTTATTCACCTGCAAGTCAGCTTCATCGTTTCCTGGGGTCTGGGTGTGGTAAGGTCAGGGCGCTTGGGAATGGGACTGGGTACAAAGGCAGGGATAAAGGGTACTTGGAGAGGAGTGTTCAAGAGGTCATGACGGGGGAGGGGTGTGGATAATTATCCACCGTGACTGAAGAAATGCCAGGTGAAGGGACCCCAAGATGAGCAGATAAAAGAATGAGAGCGCTGGGGGAGGAGGAGGAAGGGCAGGAAACGCAGCGCACAGTGCCAGGTGGGTCACCCTAAGGCTTTCAGGTTGCGAGAAAGAGGAGCTAGGAGGCTGGTGGGGCAGATGCCATGGGGGCCGGGGTGTTCCAGGCAGAAGTGCTCAGGATGGAGGAAAGGAGCCCAGCTACACAAAGACCTCTGCTCCCTTCACCTAGAGGTGGTAGCTTGGGGGAAGTAAGCCGTCCCTGAGCCGTCCCGACCCCAGCCACCCGCCCACCCAGAGGGCAGAACTGAATCACAGCTGGAAAGTCCATTTGCGAGGAGAGGAGGAGCTGACTTTTGTCTTGGAGGGGTGATGGTGGTGATGGTAGGAAACCGGGAAATCACCCCCTCCGCCCCCTCCGCCGGATGGCGGGGACAAAGGGGGAACCGCCGAGCCAGCGACTGGGGGGCGTGGGGTCGCAACGCCGAGAGCAAACGGTGGGGCCCGCTGGGGAGAGGGGGTGCCGGAGCTCCCACCGCCCCCACCCCCGGGACACCCACCTCCCTCTTCCCGCTCCGTCCCTTACCGGAGCAACTTTCTTTCGCGCGGCCTAAAGCTGTCGGTCCCGGGTCCCGCCGGCTGGGAGGCGACCCAGCCCAGGTTTGCTCCCTCGCGGGATCCCAGCACCGAATCGCGCGGCGGAGTGGAGGCGCGGGTCGCGTCTGCCGCTCCCCCCACCCCTCCCCACTCGCTCGCAGTCCCCACCCACCCCGTCCCGCCGCTCGCCGCTCCGCCGCTCCGCCCGATTTTGGCGCCCAGAAAGCAAGCGGGGAGACAGGGGATGCGCCGCGCGGGTGCCGGGGTTCGCGGAGCACCTGAGGACCGCGGCGGAGGGAGAGGGGTTTCTGAGCCCACCTTGCTCGCCAGCTCTTTGCTCCGGTCGATCCGCGCCCGCGTGAGGGATTCGATCCGAGACATAATCGGACCCGGGGACCCGGGAGGACGCGGCGCGGACCCCGGCGTCCGGCTATTGTGGGGGGAGGGCGGGGGGAGGGGTCCGGCCCGCACGCGTCGGTCTCGGGGACAGGAAGTCTGACTCCCCTCGCCCGGTACCCAGCGCCAGTTCCTCAAACCCGAGTCTCCTCCCCCGCCCAAGCTCAGGAAGGGGGGAGGCGGAGCGGAGGGAGGGCGGGGTGCCGGCGCTCTGGACGGGACGCCGGGGTTTGTGTGGGGGCAGCTCGGAGAGGTACTAGGGTCCTAGGACAGGTTTGAGAGGCCCCTCTGCTTGGTTCCCCTTCGGCGCCTGGGGGCGCCCTCTGGCCCCAGAGACCCGCCTCTCAGCTCTGCTTTTCCTAAAACCCAGCCCCGCAGCCCGGGCCGGACCCAGGTCTGCCCTTTTCCCTCTCCCCCCTCCTTCTTCCCTTCAGCCCTCCCCCTCTTTGCCTCCCTCCCCCTCCTGCGTTACTTCAGTCTTTAAAGACCCGCAGGCAGGAGGATTCCATCCCCCCCATAGCTCTTAGAGAACCCAGGACCGGGTCCTTCCTGGACTCCGGGGGCCCATCAAAGCAGGCCTGAGCAAACTGACCCCTTTTACGATTGGGGGCAGGGGTGGCCAGAGGGAGAGGAAATCAAAGGAGAACTAAAGGCTGGGTCTTCTGTGCACGGGAAGGGTAGGATTCACTCCCAGAGGTCGAAGAATAGAGAGGAGCGAATTCTCCCACACGCCCCCACCCTCTGGGGCCTTCCTGACCCCGCTCTGCCCATCCTCCTCCTAGCTCCGCCTCTGCCAGCTACTCTGGGGGACTAGGTTGGGATTCTCCACTTTTACGGAAGGCTCTAAGCAGCTGAGAAACACCTTCCATGTGTCTAACTCCAGTTCTCTCAGTTGCAAGTTAAGCCGGAACTGAGAGACAGAAACCAGCCTGCCCTAGTCAAGGGCAGTTAGGGCCCAGCCAGCCTCTCCACAAGAAGCAGGGTAAGGTGGGGCAGTCATCTCTCTGGACGCTTTGCCCCAGCCTGAGCCAGCCTCCACTTTGGGTGAGTTTCCTGCTATTGGGAAAATTCCTCTTCCAGTCTAACTACGGTCACTCACAATGCAGTTCATTCCTGCCTCTCAGGGTCTCCCATTTCTCTGGAGAAACCAGAAGCATGGAGAGGTGTGGCACAGAGCATTCTATTGGCAGGCTCCGGCCTGATTCTGGCCCCAAAGGGCATGGGAGAAAAAGGGAGGGAGAGGAGACCCAGCCCAGATCCAGCAGCTCCTTGACCTGGCTCCGCAGTGGGGCCAGGCTGCAGGTTTCAAGCCCAACTCAGCACTCTTGTAGGTGCCAATTTTAGCCTCTGCCACTATTTTTGGGCTCCACTCCCTCACCACTGGCTGAGCTGGTTGGGCTGCTCACCCCCAGCACTACCCCCACACTGCCCTCCAGCTTCCCCTCCTACCTAGCAACTCTTTCTTCACCTTCTTCCTCACCCATTCCCCTGTTTAGAATCCTTACATAGCAAAGATTAGAAAAAAAGGAGGGGACATAAACCACGCCCAGTTTAGGCTGGATGGAAATTAGAAAGCAGGAAGGACTTTCCCAGGGCCATAGCTGGTTCTTCCAGGCTTGCACCTGCCAAGGATACCTATGGGGAGGGCCTAGGAACTCTCCCAAAGCAAGAGTCCTGAGACTCCTGGCTCCACAACTCCAGACTCACGTCCCCTGGGGTGGGCAGCCAAGACTCAGGAATGTACTAAATTTAAAAACAGACAGCCAGAGGCTAGAATCTTGGCCTCAAGGCTCCACCCACTGGAGGCCCAGAGACAAGATCTGGGCTGGGACCTCAGCTTCTCTCCCCAGCCTGGGGCAGGAGGGTGCTGCAAGCTATGGATAGAATCTTAAAGGGCCACACTCCAGCCTGGGTACCCAGGAAATGTAGAATTTGAACCCCAGGGTTTTTCAAGGGACCTCACGTTTCCTCAACTCAACTTAGAAGGTCTCTATGAAAGAAGAGGACCTGACCCTCCAACCCTTTTCTGTCGCCCTCCCCAACCTTCAGTCTACTTTCCATCCCACCTACTGTTACCCTACCCACCCCTCATGCCTTCCCCTTAGGAGATGCATAACAAGGAAATGGACTAGGGACAGGGAAAAGAAAAGTGTTCTGCCTTTAAAAACACCTGTGTTTGGTGAGCTTGGCCTGCAGCTTGACTCAGTTTACATTTCCTTTATCCTCTTCAACAATGAACACTTTTCCCTTCTCCTCGGCATCACCTGCCCTCCTTTTCCAAGCCCCTTCATTCCGGCCTCCTTTCTACTCCTATCCGGTGATATCTTCCAGATTTCGGAAATTATTTTCAGAAATAATTTTTTTAGATACACAAAAACAAACATTTCTACCAGGATCCAAAAGTAGCCACCACCTTCTTTAGCTCATTTAACTTGAGGAAATGTGTCCCCTCCCATTTCAGGGGTAGGGAGGAGGTCCCAGGGAAGAACCTCGTTGCCAGAGTCTTGGCCAGTTGTTGAAGAGATGGAGCTCCCGGGTATACCCGAGCCCAAACTCTATACTGTCCCAAGGGTGGTTTGTTTTTCTTCTTTCTTCTGTTGGTCTGGACCTTGTATATTCTGGGAGGAGGTGATTAAGGCCAAATTGCCTTAAGTGGCCATCCAGCCAGAAGCTGGAAGAAGAAGGGAAGGATGGGAGGGCATGAACTGTTGTGTTAGGGTTAAGGAGAGAAGCAGAGGCAATCCAGACCAAAGCCCTGGGTTTCTGATACGGCGCCGCTTCTCATGAGCTGTGAGATCTTGGGCAAAGCAACTAACCCTTTAAGTATTTGTCTGTAAAATTGAGATTGAAACACTTATCTTTGCCAGAATCGTTATAAGAATTAAATGAGCTGACCCCTGGAAAGCGTTTCATCAAGTGTGCAATGCTACTCAAGGTGGAGGGACTAAGCCACTTCCTTCTCTCACTGCTTGACTGAGCCTGCCTCCAGCCCCACCCCCTGATGTTTACTGCTTATGGAGGAAGAGATTAACTGAAGCAGGCCCACACATTCATGAAGGTGGAAGGAAGATGCACCAGGAGATGACAGAGAGGGAAACAGAGGAAGACGGGACCACAGACACGGGGAGGAAAGGCTGAACAAGGCAATGTCCTGACTCATTCTGACTCTTCCCTGTGCTGGATCTGGGTTCCAAAGTCTCTACCCACATTCCCCTTCACTAGGTTACTCAACCTCCACCAGACTGCTAGGTCAAGGGTGGACAAACACAGACGAACGGGATCTGGATGGCCCCTGGGCAGTACTGACTTCCCCTACCATTCCCACAGCAAGAAATGGGGGTGATTCCATTAGCCGACTCCCCTACGCTGCAGTGAGACAGCCTGTAGGGAAGTGGGACTCAGACCCCAAGGTCTCTGTTTTGGCTTTGTTCCCTCAATATCTCCGTTTCCCCATGGGAGAGAAACTCACTGTCCCACCTGCCCTTCCCTCCCATCAGCTTTAAGATTCTCCCGCTGCCCCTCTTCTGAGACTCACCCAGTCTCACACCTCCATCAGCGTCAACTCCCCACCCATGGCCTGTGGTGAGAAGGTGCTAACAACACGATCTGCTTTCATCTTGACCTTTGCAGCCCACCCAGAGAAAAGGGAATCATGGCCAAAAAAAAGGCTGGAAGAGGGGAGAACCCTGGCACTGTGGGTGGGGCTGGGAGGAGCCCAGGCAACCTTACTGGTGAGAATCTCACGGCTCTTCAAGGTGAATATAATAATGACTTTTCTGGGGGTTCTCTCAACACTCAGAATCCGCCCCAGTGGGAAAGTACATGCATACTTGGGGAGGCCAGGGGAGGAAAAGGGGGACGGCTCACTCTGCCAGTAAATGAAGAAAGTGGAAATGAATTCAAGGAGCCGGCAGAGCTCCCAGTTTCACCAGAGCCTGAGGCTTGGTAATAAGGATGAGAGCAATGTGCCTTCACTTCCTGGGATCAGAACAGCACATGGCCGCACACGAACTGGTATGCATGTGCTTCCATAATCATACACTTTCCCAGCTTCTCTGCCTGTGGTCTAATTTCAACTCCTTCAGCTGCTGTATCCACCCATAAAATTATGAGTGTAAAAGCATTTTGCAAACGCTGATACTCTATGAAGAAGTAAAAAGTAGTGCTGTAATCATTATCATTGTTATGTCCAGTGGTTGAGGTTTCTCCTGCCCACCTGTCAGCTATGTGAGGCCTAAAGAGAGGGAGGGCTAGGCCATTCCTCAACTTCTGAGGTTCCTGGCCCTTTTCCCCTTCCAGTTGTCCACAGCTGACTATTAAGCTGGGAGCATAGGGGAAAGCAGAGAAAAGGTGATTTACTGGGACACAGAGACACAGGCTGGAAGACATAGCATGTGTTCTCTTAAAATTTGAACCATTTGGCTGGGCACAGTGGCTCACACCTGAAATCTCTGCACCTTGGGAGGCCAAGGCAAGAGGATCGCTTGGGCCCAAAAGTTAGAGGCTGCAGTGAACTATGATAATGCCATTGAACTCCAGCCTAGGAGAAAGAGACCCCCCTCTTTAAAAAAATGAAAAATTTAGCCAGGCGCGGTGGCTCACGCCTGTGATCCCAGCACTTTGGGAGGCCAAGGCAGGTGGATCATGAGGTCAGGAGTTCAAGACCAGCCTGGCCAAGATGTTGAAACCCCATCTCTACTAAAAATACAAAAATTAGCCAGGTGTGGTGGCAGGCACCTGTAATTCCGGCTACTCAGAAGGCTGAGGTAAGAGAATTGCTTGAACCCTGGGACAGAGGTTGCAGTGAGCCGAGATCATGCCACTGCACTCCAGCCTGGGTGACAGAGTGAGACTCTGTCTCAAAAAAGAAAAGAAAAAGAAAAACAAAAATTTGCCAGGCGAGGTAGCTCATGTCTGTAATCCCAGCAGTTTGGGAGGCCAAGGGGGTGGATCACCTGAGGTTGGGAGTCCAAGACCAGCCTGACCAACATGGAGAAACCCTGTCTCTACTAAAGATACAAAAAAATAGCTGAGTGTGGTGGCACGTGCTTTTAATCCCAGCTACTCGGGAGGCAGGAGAATCACTTGAACCGGGGAGGCAGAAGTTGCAGTGAGCCGAGATCATGCCATTTCACTCCAGCCTGGGCAACAAGAGCAAAACTCTGTCTCAAAAAAAAAAAAAAAGAAAAATTGAACCATTGCTCTGAGTTTCTAGTAGGGAGAGTGGTGCAATGTGGCGATGGTGTGATGGGAGAAAGGGAACTGGGGAGGGCAGTGGGGTCCCAAGCCTCCTGCTTCCCCAGCTGACTCCTACCTTGGCCTTTCCGGTCATGCCCAAGAGGAAGCTGAAGGTCCGTCGCAGGGAGGAGCCTGCCCAGGTACCTGAATGTCCTTCCAGCTGGCTGCAGCTGCAGAGAGAAAAAGACTTGAGGAGACTGGGGAATGCTGGAAATGAAGAAAAACATGCTTCCTGAGAGATGGTGGATGGTGGTGCCATGACCAGCAGAGCCAGAATGGGAAGGAAGAAAGAGGAAGGACTGGGAGAGAAAGATAAGCCCCAATCCTGACCTCCTAGGACTTCCTGGATGTGGGCATTTCAGTTGCCCAGGCCCCTCTATTTAGGAAGAAAACTCCAGGCTCCACCCAGATAAATACAGACTCCTCCTTCCTACCTAATCCAGGCTCAGGATGGGAGGCCCAGTCTCCTCTATCATGCTGCTCCCCAACGGAAGTGGTATAGGGCGGGGGCTCTCCCGGGGGGCATTTTCTCCTCTCAGAACAAGAGCCTTGTGTACGACCCTCTCTGCTGTTTGGAGAAGGCCTCTGGGCCTAAAGCCAATAAGGACTGAATTTCCTGGGATTTCATCAGCCCCATCCCATGAGCTAATCCCAAACCCAGAGCCAGGAGGATGTGTCAGCTAGAGATTTTCAGGACCACAGAGCAGAGCCTGATATCTTAAAGGGACCGTTACTTGCTTACACATCCACATTGTATTAGAGGCCGGCCCACTCTAATCAGGCTTTAGCCATAGAAGCCAAATAAACAGGTGCTGATTTTGCATGCTTATTTACATAGTTATGCAAATCTCCCAGCCTCCACCTCCAGACCTGAATTCTGCCCTCAGGCCCCTCTCTCTTGGGCACTCCACAGTCAGCCAGTCCCCCGTTCGTCTATTATCTGAGCCATCCTAAGCTGATCCATGGTCCTGGGTCACTGCCCCTCACGAAGACTGTTCCACAGCCGATCTGCCCTTTCACCCTGTTCCACTGACAACAGCAAGCAACTCCCATGCTCTGTTATTCAACAGACACCCTGGATATTCCTTTTCTTTCCCTAATTTCTCTCCCTGTCTCATGGAGCTACCAGGAACCTGGTGAGCCCACCCATACCAAAGAAAAGGGTGTGAATTATATGCAGCTAAGGGAAGGATATTTGGAGGTCTTAGATCAGAAATGTTAAGGGGAGGAATGATTCAGGAAGCAGGGAGACCCTTGCAGCTACAAAACCTGGCCTAGACTCTATTGCTCTTCCCCCATAGAGGCTTTTGAAGGACTCCAAGTCCCCCACACTCACCGTTTCCTGAGGTCAGTGGCAGAGGACCGGGATAAATTCCCTGCCAACACAAAAGGAGACAAGAAGTGTCTAGCTAAAGCCAGACAAAGGCGCCCAGGGCTTCCTCCCCTACCCGCTTCACCTGGATCAGGTTCCCAAGCTGCAGGTGCATGTGACGCCATTCCTGAGGGCGGGCACTGGGCAGCAGGGAGAGAGGGCGGGGTCTAAGCAGGGCAGAGCTGAAGAATTTAGGAGCCAGGGGAACAGGGCACCCAGGGTTATGTGGAGATGGTGGCTGGGAGCCTGATGTTTCAGAGGTTTCACCCAGAGCTCCCCATACTCCATCTTGAGGACAATGTACATTGCAGGTAACTGTCCTCCGTATCTGGTGATGGGGAGGCTGGAGAACCTCACTGTGTCCTATGTCTGCTTTCATTGGTAGGAGTTTCAGAATGCCGAAGTCCAGAATTCAGATTGCTCATTTGAATAAAGCAGTCCTGAGGCTGGACACAGTGGCTCATGCCTGTAATCTCAGCACTTTGGGAAGCCAAGGTAGGCGGATCACTTGAGCTCAGGAGTTTGAGACCAGCCTGACCAACATGGTGAAACCCTGTCTCTACTAAAAATACAAAAATTAGCCAGGTGTGGTGGTGCACTCCCGTAGTCCCAGCTACTCAGGAGGCTGAGGCACGAGAATCACTTGAACCCGGGAGGCAGAGGTTGCAGGGAGGTCAGATTGCAGCACTGCACTCCCAGCCTGGGCGACCCAGTGAGACTGGTCAGAAAAAAAAAAGAAAAAAAGAATAAAACCATCTGGGAATTCCAAGGGTGTGTGGTTAGACATAATCCAGGACATCCAACCCTAAACAGCTAGCTATGAGGAGTGGCAACGAGATGGATATGGGAGGGCCCCCCCCCGACACTTTGCTCCCTACTTTTGCTCACCATCTGGATCCGACCAGTCCAAGAGGCAGTTGATGCCACTCATGGATACAGACTTGGAAAGCATTCCAGTAGCCGAGTGGTCCAAAGGGCCAGCAGATGGATGATAGGAATCCTGACCCTGGAATCATGTCAAGAGTCCTCACACAAAGGGCAGGCTTCATCTGTCCTCCCCTCATGCTCTTCACTTTCCCACAGCTTGGCCCCTCTTCAAATCCAGGCCACCCACCCCTTTCCAATACCCATACTGGGATATTGCACTCTCTTTTTTTTTTTTTTTTTTTTTTTTTTTTGAGACGGAGTTTCGCTCTTGTTACCCAGGCTGGAGTGCAATGGCGCGATCTCGGCTCACCGCAACCTCCGCCTCCTGGGTTCAGGCAATTCTCCTGCCTCAGCCTCCTGACTAGTTGGGACTACAGGCATGCGCCACCATGCCTAGCTAATGTTTTGTATTTTTAGTAGAGACGGGGTTTCACCATGTTGACCAGGATGGTCTCGATCTCTTGACCTCGTGATCCACCCGCCTCGGCCTCCCAAAGTGCTGGGATTACAGGTGTGAGCCACCGCGCCCGGCCGATATTGCACTCTCAATGTTTGGGAAGTTATCCCATTATCCCTGCTGTTTAGCAGTCACTCTGTTGCAGTTCAAGCCCAGGCTTTCTTAGTATATAAAAGTATCTTAGAAGAGAGATTTACCCTGAATGGTTTCCAGAGGTGATAAACTCAACCTATAGAGGCTAGGCCGGTAAGGAAAAAAACAGGCAGTGGCTCAGGCCTGTAATCCCAGCACTTTGGGAGGCCAAGGCAGGTGGATCACTTGAGGTCATGAGTTCGACACCAGCCTGGCCAAAATGGTGAAACTCTGTCTCTACTAAAAAATATACAAAAATTAGCCGGGTGTGGTGGTGTGTGCCTGTAATCTCAGCTACCCAGGAGGCTGAGACAGAAGAATCACTTGAACCTGGGCTGTGTAGGTTGCAGTGAGCCGAGATCACACCACTGCACTGATGCAACAGAATAACTAAAAAAAAAAAAAGGCCGGGCACGGTGGCTCATGCCTGTAATCCCAGCATTTTGGAAGGCCGAGGTGAGTGGATTATTTGAGGTCAGGAGTTTGAGACCAGCCTGGCCAATATGGTAAAACTCCACCTCTACTAAAAATAGAAAAATCAGCCAGGCATGGTGGCTGGCACCTGTAGTCCCTGCTACTGGGAGGCTGAGGCAGGAGAATTGCTTGAATCTGTGAGGCAGAGGTTGCAGTGAGCCGAGATCATGCCACTGCACTCCAGCATGGGTGACAGAGTGAGACTCTATCTCAAAAAAAATAAATAAAGAAATAAAAAACTGAGGCAGTCTGGGTTTAAGACAATAGGGAGGAGAAATATTCATAGGCTGTGCCCATCCTTTAGAGAGTAACATTCTTCTCAAGCCTACATGGAGCATCACAAAAACTGGCCACAAAATAGGCCCTAAGGCAAATCAACAGATTTCAAATAATCTGCATTATAGAAATTATAGCAAATAAGCCAGAAGTCCCTCCTCAGTAGACTAAAGAGTCAATAGTATACTTATGCATTGAAATACTATTCAACAGCCGGGCGCAGTGGCTCAAGCCTGTAATCCCAGCACTTTGGGAGGCCGAGGCGGGTGGATCACGAGGTCAAGAGATCGAGACCATCCTGGTCAACATGATGAAACCCCGCCTCTACTAAAAACACAAAAAATTAGCTGGGCATGGTGGCGCGTGCCTGTAATCCCAGCTACTCAGGAGGCTGAGGCAGGAGAATTGCCCGAACCCAGGAGGTGGAGGTTGCGGTGAGCCGAGATCACGCCATTGCACTCCAGCCTGGGTAACATGAGTGAAACTCCATCTCAAAAAAAAAAAAAAAAAAAAAAAAGAAATACTATTCAACAATAAAAATGAAG